CGCGTACTGCTCGCTGCCCGTATGTCATTCGCACAGGTCGTCGGGTTGGTCAGACCTGTGGGACACCTGGTCACGCACAGTCCCGCTGCTTCTCCTATATGAGTGACGCCTGGCACGCAGAGTTTGGCGACGAGGCTGAGCTCCCCTACTGGATTGAGCTGCTTAGGTCAGGCGTTGATGTCTTTGCTTTAGACTATGACGCCATCCTTACTGCCATGTATGCTTTGCCTAGTGGTGCTGAGAGTGACTGTTACCTGTGTGTGCAGCACGACCCCGGTATAGAGGTTGCTGCTCCAGGTGCTAGTGAGGCTGCTGCCTTAGGTGCTAGAGAGTCTGCTCCCTCAGGTACTGCGCCTGCTGAGGCCTTGCACACCTTCACACTTGACTCAGGTGCTTCCCGCTGTTTCTTTCGTGACAGTACTGCACTCACACCACTCCCTGCACCTGTTGCAGTGTCTCTGGCTGACCCCTCAGGGGGCCCAGTCCTTGCACGGTCCACCACTGTGCTTCCGTGCCCGGCGGTTCCGTCTGGCTCACTGTCAGGCCTTCACCTCCCCTCGTTCTCTACGAACTTGGTGAGCACCGCAGTTCTCCAGGACCAGTGGGTTGACACCTTTTACAGCGTGTGGCAATCTGTACGTGCCCCAGCACTGGCCGTCACCTGGCCACGTTCACCCGTCGGCCAGGGTCGAGTCTTTACACACTGACGACTGTGTCTCCTCAGGTAGCTGCTGTCGGTTGGGTGTCTGCGTCCGGTCTGGTAGCCTCCCCTTGTGAGTGTCGCTCCTGTCGCACCAGAATCTTCTCTGGCACCACCGTCTGGGTCACCCCTCCTTGCCACGTCTACGTGGCATGCACCGTCGCCTCCTTGTGTCTGGTCTTCCCAGGTCTCTCCCTCCCCTTCCTGCCTCGCCTGCCCCGCCCTGCCTTCCTTGCGTCGAGGGGCGGCAGCGCGCCGCTCCTCACTCTTCCTTGTTTCCCCCGACAGAGGCTCCCCTGCAGACCCTCCACCGAGACGTGTGGGGCCCAGCCCGCGTTCGTGGACAGGGCGGCGAGCGGTACTTTCTGCTGGTTGTCGACGACTACTCGCGTTACACCACGGCCTTCCCCTTGCGCACCAAGGGTGAGGTCCCTGCTGTCCTGATCCCTTGGATCCGAGCAGTTCGTCTCCAGCTCCGCCGGAGGTTCCGAACGGACCTTCCTGTCCTGCGTCTGCACTCCGACAGAGGTGGTGAGCTCACCTCCGACCTCTTGCAGGCTTTCTGTTAGAGGGAGGGCATCGAGCAGTCGTTCACACTTCCGGGCTCACTGCAGAAAAATGGGGTTGCTGAGCGCCGCATTGGCTTGGTCATGGAGATCGCTCGTACCTCCTTGATCCATGCAGCGGCTCCCCATTTTCAATGGCCGTTTGCAGTCCGGTACGCCGTGCAACAGCTCAACCTCTAGCCCCGTATCTCCTTGCCGGAGACCTCGCCCACACTGCGTTGGACGGGAGAGGTTGGCGATGCGTCGCGGTTCCGGGACTGGGGTGCTCGTGCCCTTGTCCGCGATGTGTCCGCGGACAAGCTCTCCTCCCGCACCATTCCTAGTGTCTTCCTTGGCTTTGTCCCTGACGTGCCTGGCTGGCAGTTTTACCACCCCACCTCGCGTCGGGTCTTCGCCTCTCAGGACGTCACCTTTGATGAGTCGGTTCCTTTCTACCGTCTCTTTCCCTACCGCATTGCCCCTCTCCCTCCCCCGCGCTTTTCCTCGCTCCAGGTCCCCCTCCGGTAGACCCCTTCCCCCCCCAGGGTCCTGCTCCTTCAGGTGTGTCTCAGGTAGACCCACTCCCCTTGGCTGAGCCTTTGGAGGTCACTTCCGACACCTCTGGCCCAGCTGAGGGGGGTGACGTTACTGATGACGCCCCGGCGGCCTACCGCCGCACACCACGCTTGGAGACCCCTCCGGGGTTCCCGCCGCGCTCGTCTTCGCCACCTCCGCGGCCGGTTGCTGTCAAATCTGGTGCTGCTGGGGGTGGTGCTGCTAGAGGTGTTGCGTCTGGGGGTGCTGGGCCTGTGCGTGAGGTGCTGGGGGGTGTGGAGCCTGGGGGTGCTGAGCCTACGAGTGCGGAGCCTGAGGGTGCTGAGCCGGAGGGTGCCGGGTCGGGGGGTGCTGAGTCTGCTGACGTTCCTCCGGGTCTCGTTTCTCAGCGGGGACCACTCTCACCACAGCAGCTATGAGAGTGGCTTGCGTGGCGTACCCGCCTGAGGCGTCGTGCTGCTGGAGCTGGAGGTCCTGCTACTGGAGGTACTGCTGCTCGAGGTGCTGAGACTGGAGCTGCTGCAGCTGGTCGTCGTGGAGGTGCTGGGAGTGCTGGTGTTTCTGGTTCTAGAGGTGCTCGTACAGGAGGTACTGGAGCTGCCAGGACTGGTGGTGCTGCTGGAGCTGGAGGTGCTAGTTCTGTGGGTACTGCTACTGGTGGTGCTGGTGTTCTAGGCACTGGAGCTGGAGACAGTCGCGTTGGGGGTGCTGGCTCTGGAGGTCCTGGCCCAGGGGGTTCCGAGCCTGCTGGTGCTGAGCCTGCGGGTGCTGAGTCTGCTGGAGGTCCTCCTGGTGCCGCATCGCATCGGTCACCTCTCTCGCTGCAGCAACTGCGCGAATGGCTTGCTTCGCGCACCCGCCTTTGGGGTCGCGCTACTGGCGCTGGAGACGCTGCTGCTGGAGGCGCCGGCCCTGGAGGCACTGGAGCTGGAGGCCCTGGAGCTGGTGCTGTCGACCCTCGAGTTGGAGACCCTAGAGCTGGAGGTGCCGGTTCTGGGGGTGCTGCTACTGGGGGTACTGGGACTGGAGACCCTGGACCTGGAGGTACTGGTTCTGGGGGTGCTGCTGCTGGAGGTGCTGGGGCTGGCGGCCTTGGAGCTGGTGCAGTTGACCCTGGAGTTGGAGACCCTGGGACTGGAGGTGCCGGTTCTGGGGGTGCTGCTGCTGGAGGTGCCGGTTCTGGGGGTGCTACTGCGAGAGACTCTGGAGCTGCCCAGGCTGGTGGTGCTGCTGGTGCTGGAGGTGCTGGTGGTACTGGCACTACTGGTCCCGAAGGTGCTTGTACTGGAGGTACTGGAGCTGGAGTGGCTAGTGCTGGAGGTGCTGGAGCTAGAGGTTATGGAGCTGCTGGGCGCTGGAGCTGCTGGTGCTGGGGCTGGAGACCCTGGTGCTGGGGGTGCCGGTTCTGGGAGTGCTGCTGCTGGTCGTGCTGGAGCTGGAGGTACTGGCGCTGGAGGTACTGGCACTGGAGGTGCTGGCGCTGGAGGTTCTGGAGCTGCTGGAGGCGCTGCAGGTACTGGTGCTGGTGGCACTGCACAGTCGCGACTGTTCTTCTCTCCACCGTCACCGTCGTCTCTGTCGCCGCCTGACTCAGTGCTTCGCCAGGTTCTTACCCTCCCGTCTTCTACTGGCCTCCCGTCACCACCCGGCTCCCCACTGCCTGCTCCCTCTCCTTACACTGAGCAGACTGGAGGTCCTACTGAGCGTCGCGAGCCTGCGTCCCGTCCTGCCTCGCCTGTTCGCACTGGTCGCACTGGTCACACTGGTCGTACTGGTCGTGTTCCTCGTGAGCGTCCGCCACCTGTCCTTGGCACGCACACTATGGCACTTCGTCCTTCCTTTGTTCCACAGTGTGTTCCCCTACCGTCTCCTCCTGACTCCTCTCTTCCACACGTTCCGGACCCGCCGTCTGACCTGGTTCGTGCTGCTCACCCTACTGTCATGCGTCTGTTAGCCACTGTTGTCACTGACCCGTCGTTTGAGTCTGCTGCTGCGTCTGCCTTAGTCGCTGAGCTTGTTGACTTTGCTGCTGCTTGTCATCTTGACTACGCCGCTAGCCTTGTTGCTGAGTCTGAGTCTGTCTGTCCTCCGTCCGTCTGGGGTGAGTGTGCTCTTGGCACGGACGTCCTTGAGGACAGGCAGGTGGACCTTGAGTGTCTTGCAGCCGCTGCACCTCATCTCGTGGCCATGCTGCTTGCCCCTGAGGGAGACCCGGATGCACTCGACATCCCGACCCCGCGCACTTACGCATAGTCGATTTCGGGTCCCTACTCCTTTCAGTGGCAGACAGCCATGGACGTAGAGATGGCATCCTGGAAATCCACAGGCACCTACGTCGATGAGGTTCCCCCTCCTGGGGCGAACATCGTCGATGGCATGTGGATTTTCAGGGTGAAGCGGCCGCCGGGTTCTCCACCTGTCTTCAACGCTCGTTACGTTGCACGAGGCTTCAGTCAACGACAGGGAGTTGACTTCTTCCAGACCTTCTCCCCCACCCCGAAGATGACCACTCTTCGGGTGCTGCTGCACGTTGCCGCTCAGCGTGACTACGAGCTTCACTCTCTCGACTTCAGCACAGCTTTCTTACACGGCAGTCTGCACGAGGAGATCTGGCTGCGCCGCCCTCCTGGCTTCACTGGGTCGTTCCCTCCTGGTACCCAATGGAGCCTCCACCGGCCAGTCTATGGTCTCCGTCAGGCACCTCGTGAGTGCCACGACACACTGAGGACGACACTTGCGGCTCTTGGGTTTGCCCCTTCCACTGCTGAACCGTCGCTGTTTCTATGCACCGACACTTCACTGCCGCCGTTCTACAACCTCGTGTACGTCGACGACTTGGTCTTTGCCACTGCTGACACTGAGGCACTCGCCTTTGTGAAGTCGGAGCTGCAGAAGAGACACACGTGCACAGACCCGGGTGAGCTGCACATCTACCTTGGCTTGCAAATCACCTGGAACAAAGCACGGCGCACCATCACCTTGACTCAGTCACACATGGTGCAGCAGGTTCTTCAGCGCTTCGGCTTCACTTGGTCCTCCCCACAGTCCACTCCTCTGGCTACTGGTCACTCGCTCTCAGCTCTACCTTCGGATGAGTCCGTAGAGCCTAGTGGCCCGTATCCAGAGCTTGTGGGCTGCCTCATGTACCTGATAACCTGCACTCGACCTGACCTTGCATACCCCCTTAGCATCCTCGCTAGCTACGTTGCGCCTGGGAGACACCGGCGAGAGCACTGGGAGGCTGCTAAGAGGGTGTTGCGCTACTTGTGCAGTACATCGGGCATGGGGCTCGTGCTTGGAGGTTGTCGGTGATGGTCGTCGCCATGGTCGACGTGGCGTCCTCGAGGCGCTTCGCCAAGTTCCGGTCGGTGTCGGCTACCTGAGCGGTCAAAGCCTTGAGCTTGTCGAGGATTCCAGCTAACGCCGACGCCAAGCTGTCGACCCGTCCCGTCTGTTCACCGAGCCGCCGTTCCAGTCGTGCATTGTCGGCCCGCAGTCGCCTGTTCTCCTCTCGCAGCTGCTCGACGATGTCCAGCCGCGCCTGCCGACTAGCTGCGGTAGAACCGGGGTGACCGCTCGCCGCCTTCTTCCTCCTAGACCGCTCCCCCCCGTGAGTCACTTCCACGCCCGTCTGCTTCGTGGCCGCGGCGTTATCCCCTTCTTCTACGGCCTCCAGGTCTACACCTCCCTCCCGATCGCCGACCACGACATTCCCACTCCCCCCGTGAGCCGCCTCCACGCCGACCTCCTCTTTCTCCTTTTCGAGATCTGCTGACATCGCACTCTTCCCCTCCCCTTCCTCGTTCTCAACGTCCGCCGACCTTTCACCCGTTTCCGCCGCTCCAGCAGCTACAGACTCCACCTCCAGTTCTTCCTGTTCCTCCACCTCCAACTCCACCTCTTCCTCCTGCTCCCCCTCTAGCTGCTTCTCCTGCTCCTGCTCCTTATGCTCCACCTCCTCCTGCTTCCCCTGCTCCTCTTCCTCCTCCTCCCCTTCCGACTCCGACTCCGACTCCGACTCCGACTCCAAACGACCCTCCTCACGATCCTCCTCCGAGCCCCCCTCCTCCTCATGATCCTCATCACGATCCTCGTCCTGGTGCTTCTCCTCGGTACCAGTTACCCCCTTTCCAGCCTCCCCATCATCCTCGTCGACGCCGCCTCCCGGCTTTCCTATCGTGGTCCCACGCGCATCAGCGACGGTGCGGGCGACACCGACTGCTTGGAATGCTGAATGGACCTCCTCGCCGTCGTCGTCACAGGCGTCGGCAGCAACTCCGACCTGGCCCGCCCGTTTGCGCGCTACTAGCTTCTTGATCCAGGCCACCATATCAGTCCGCAGCTTCTTCAACCCCGAAACGTTGACCTTGTCCATGCTGGTGACACTGCGACGAAGGCCGCCTGTCAGGAGATCCATCCGCCTCACAGCCCAAAGCAGCGCGCTCATTGCTAGCAGACCGAAGCCAGCGTCCCCGTCCCGGACGGCGTTGGCCACTTTCTGCAAACAACAGTGCAGAGAGCGAGGATGAGCACCGCGGTCGGCAGCATAGGACGGCAAATTCGTTCGGAACTCACATCTCGAAGGGGGCGATCGCAGTCGGCGAGCCTCTCCTGCACCTCTTCTTCGGACGGCTTCGCCCACTCCCATTTCCTACCATCGCGCCGCAGCTCGGCCAGAACCGCCTCCCGGAAAAACCTGCATACGCATGGCACAGACGGTGGGTAAGAATGGGGCACGCTCCGCTGGTAGTTTGCATGCGACGACGACTACACTGTCGAGCTCACTTCAGCACGCGGATCGCCTCGTCGCGGTGCCATTCCTTCACTGTCTGCGGGTCGGCGTGCCTGATCGATGTCCTGATCTTCTGCCCTGATGCCTTCAACAAATCACCGGGGTACAGAATGATCACGACGCTGCAATGTGATCCTGGGAGCGGTGCGATGCTGCACAGACAAGGCATGTCGACGTCGCTCAGAACAGGTCACCGACACAGGTTGCAGAACACACCAGGGCGACCCCGAACCAGCTCACCTCGAGAACAGCTGGATAACCGCTACGTCGGCGTCGAAAACAGTCGCAAAGCATGTGTGGTCGCCCTGACCCATCGCCGCCCGAAGCCGGCCGCTTCCTATCGACCACAATCGCTTGTCGGCCGACGTCGCGCGCATCCATGCGTGCCTGCACGTATGCATAGTACGAAGAAGTGAGCGACGGGGTGCACGGCACGACGGTGGATCACCCTCGCGGCGGTGCAATGAAGAGAGACGAACGACTATGGCACAACCCAGCGCCGACGCCGACCTAACACCGTACGTCGACGTCAACGACGTGGTCCACATGAACCCTAAACTCGTCGACCTAAACGACGGGTCGCATGGAACCCCTAAGCTCGACCAGCATGGAAGCCGGTGGAAGACGCCGACATCCACTTACTTGAGGCCGAGTCCCAAGCAGCGGGCATTAAACTCTAGGCTATGGTTTGTGAGAACGGCGTAGTCGTGTTCCTCGAACTTGGCAGTGAGTCCTCTACCGATGTCAAGATACAGGGGGAAGTCCCGCGAGGTCGGCGCCGCTTCGGCGGCGTTTCGGTCGACCGCCATGGCGGGAAAGCGAGGATGCTACAGGCTAAGGGAAGAAACGGTGGGTGTATGGAGGGCGCAGAGCTGGGAAAAAAGACGAAAGAGAAACGAGAAGGCGAAAATGAGGGGCGAGACCACATCCCACAAAGAAAAGCGAGGCGGAGCCTCGCAGGCCCGGTTGAGCATCGTCCCAAGGGGTCGTTGGGCCTGGCTTGGCAGGGCTCACGCACATGTGGCGTGGCACAAGTGCACTTCGCCGCCGAGGCAGCAGGTCGACGTCACGTCCCCAAGCCTCCGTCGGCCAGGGGGCGCAGATTCGCATGCGCGAATTCGGTGCGACGTTTCGGCCGACACGTGTCGATTTCGCAGCGGGTCGCGAAAACATTGCGCCGCGATGCGTGCTAAGTCGAATGTCGCTCGGATTTCGGCGGAACATCCCACCTCGCATGCATTCGATGCGAATTCACGGGCGCACACGTGGCGCCACCGCAACGGGTCGCGAAAGTGTCGAGCTTCCCGAGGGGAGCACCCGAATCTCGCATGGCCCTCGCTTGCCCGTCCGGGCAGGTCGCGAGGGTCACTAGGACTTCGCGGGCAGCGGGGACGGGAGGGCTGCCTTCGCGCGAGGGTAACTTTCCCTCTCGCGAGGGGGTCGCCACATCGCCGCCCCCACACGGTAACGTGGGGCGCTGTTCACTCTCGGGGAGGGGTTTCGGGGCGGCGGTCGTGCGCCTGGCCCAGCCCTGGGCCAGGCTGGCGGGCCCGAACGCGCGTCAGTCGCCCGCCTCGTCACGCCCGGCTCCGACGACCCCCTCTGACGACCCAGGCAAATCGGCTCCGACGACCGAATTGCGCTGGGATGTTCAGCATAGTATAGCTTAGCGGACGAAAAACGCCGCCCAATTTCGCGGTAGGGAAAGGACAACGCCCCTCCTTGGACTCGACGAACAACCGACGACCTCCGCGTGGAAAGCTCGGGCGAACAGGCTGGGCTCAGTGCCAGCGAGCCCTCGGGATTGACGACGACCTGACGACCTAGGTTTTCGCTGAGACAAACCCGAGAAGTATCTCTCAGCGCGTGGCAAAAACCCAGCTCGTCACGTCGGGCTGCGATTATCGCCACGCGGCCAGGAATGAACGTCCGAGATCGTCCTCAAGTTGGCGGGGCCACCGAGGTCTGCCACGACAGCCACGACGAGCCCACGCGGCACCAGTTGAGACGGGGTGCTTTGCGTGGGAAATATTCGCGCCGGGTAGGGGCCAGGTCGGCGCGTACCACGCGGCCTCCATCCGACGGTTGCCCCGATGCCCAAGGCAACATCACGACCGTTCCCTACTCAGGCTAGGTGCAACGGATCTTCAGGCGCCGGGAATGTCGGCGTCGACCACACGAGCATCTTCGGGGTGCCACGCGTCAGTGCCAAACGCCCTCGAACTACTGCGCGGGGAGTCTCCAGCAAGGTTTTCAGGGAGCGATGCACCAAAATCGGGACCACGCCACGTAGCGCACGCACGACCCAGCGTGTAACAGCCATGAAAATCGCCTCCTGGGCGAAGCGCTTTTCGGAAACCAGCCATGCATGGCTGGTGGCACGTTGGACACGGCGCCGCCGCACGAGGGTACATGCATAGCGGCGTCCTGCACAGGGAGTTGCGTGGAGAACGGCAGGTGCGAAGTCGCCCACGACCATACCCATCTGGGATCCCAGTAAATGTCGCTCATTCTGCCTTCCACTCCGGGTTTGTTCCACCCGCTATCTGGCACTTAGTTTTTTTTCTACTCCCTTTCACACTCCTCGCGTGCAGGACAGTCACTCCGCCGACCAGATGTCGTAGTCGGCGTCGACAAATTGGCCAGAGAGACTGATAAGAGACGTCGCCGATACTTGTTTAGGAGACCGCCAAGTTATAGGCACTTGCGAGAGAATTCGAGCGTGACGCCCGAGAAGCGCATAGGATAAACACCGCCAACGGGACTCACTACCGCCAGCATTGGGCCGCCGCGATCCACGTTCACCGTAGATCAAACGCCTGAAATCACATGGCCGACGTCGACATGACAGACGGTCCTACCCCTGCGAGCCATGGGGGAGACGGCCGACCGGTGGAGTGTACAACGACCAGTAATCCATCGTCGACCCTGCCGCTGCTTTACGATCTCGACGCACTGTCACAAATCCCGGCAGGCGAGTCCACCAAGGACATTCCGCCCGCGCCCATAGGGGAATTTACGAAACCACGCAAATCGACGGCACCGACAAATGCTGGGGAGGCCGGGACGTCGTCGGTGCCGACGAATGCTGGGGAGGCCGGACTGTCGTCGGTGCCGACGAATGCTGGGGAGGCCGGACCGTCGTCGGTGCCGGACGGAGCGGGCGATCAGGATGAGGAAAGTGACGACGCTTCATCGTGCAGCGACGATGAAGACGAAGACGACCCACGGCCTCGACGTGGCGCAGGTCCGCGCACGTTGGAAGAGAAGCTCAGGGGGGAACGTGCGTTCATAGAGGATCTGTTGGACGAGGACGAGCTTGAGGACCTGTTAAACATGGCGGTGCCACGAGAACAGTGGAAGGCGGCCGACTTCGTCGAGGAAGATATAGTCTACGCGTGCGTCGACGTACTCGTGATGGAGGCAATGCGCCACCTGAAAACCCTGGAGGCTAAGAGCACGCTGAAGCTGTACACCTCTTGGATTTACCACTACAAGAGGTGGGCGGCGAAGATGCTGAAGGAAATACGCAACACTTTTGGGTGGGGAAAGAACGAGGCACGTCGACAAAATCGGGTACTGGATCCACTGCAACAAGAGCAAGGATTGGGACAACGAGAAGGTGGTCAAACGGAAGTACATCTGGCTGCACGGCCCGCGTGTCACTGAGTCGCGACTGCGCGCCTACATCAAGTTCTTAAGGCGGGAGTACAAGATCGACGCCGAGACGAACGCGCCGGTGAAATCGAACACGGTGCACATGATCCTAGGCCGCATCAAGGCCTGCCAGATGGCGGCGAGGGTGGAGGCGACTCTCTTCAAGGAGAAGGAGTTGGGCATCATGCGGGAAATCTCGGTGGTCCGGTCGGAGGTGCGGGTCATGGTCCGCACAAAAAATCAGAATGACGTCAGGTAAGTTGGCATACACACCCGAGCTCTGTCTCCTTTGATTTGTGGTCGGCGACATAAGACACATCTCTTCTTATTGCTTCGTCGACAGGAATTGCGCGGACCGTCGACGCGGCACCATCGGCGACACATACACCGCCGAACAGTTCCGCCAGATCATGATGAGGGTGCTGCCAACCTGGGTGGCATCGGCGTGGAACCCGCGGGCAACCACTCCTTCGCAGACGCTGTGGAGGTTTCTTCTCGTGAAGGTGCTCACGCTACTCTCCCACCACAGTCTCCTGCGTGGGGCCAGCATCCGCGAAATCACACTCCCCGACATCTTCTTGTACCGACTGGCTAGCACCTCGTCGGTGAACCCGGAAAACCAGCCGGTCGTCATGGTGATCGCCGCACGGAACTCGAAGACGTCCAAGGATGCGCGTCTTCAGCAGAGCTACGCGGCGCGGCACCTCGAAGCGGAGTTGTGCGCCGTCGGCGAGACCGGCCTGTGGCTGCACTTCATCCTCGACCAGATCCGTCAGTTTCACGGCGTCGACCTCATCCCGCCGGTGGACACCAGCACGCGCGAGCGCTGGTACAAGAAGCACCTGTTCTTCGCCCGCAACGACGAGGAGCAAATGGAACTCCCTGCTGCCAGCCACCAGCGATGGACGAGGCAGATGTGGAAGACGAACGGTGTGTTCTGCAAGCGGAACGTCCACGCCGCTCGAGCAGGCGGGGCGCAGGAGCTGGCCATCGACGGTACGTCTCGCGCCGAGATAGCCGAGCTGGGTCACTGGGCGATCGACAAGATGACTCGAGCTTACATCACCGCCATTCCCGTCGGCGTGGTGATGAAGAAGGCCGGCTATTCGGGTGCCAAACAGGACTACTTCTTGGGTCGCAGCAGGGTGGAACCCGGCGACGAACTCCTGGCGCTCATCGCCGAGTACATCTTCCCGGGCGTTGACGACCTGGTTAAGAAGGTATTTTAATCGACGCCGCCTACGTTACGACCAAGGGTTAGACCTTCGTTACGCCGCCTGCTTTAGGGTTTAGACCTAGTATCGTTCGACTGGCCAACTGTAATCACCCGCTTCTGTTGTCAAATTGCAGGCTGAAGAACTCGCGAAAATGGGGTCCGAGGCCGACTTTGCGCCGTGCATTTCTGGCGCACCCTCCAGATCATGCGCCGCATTGTCGTCGAAGACCTCGCTGTGAAACTCGTCCGCACCCCTTGGCATCCGTACGTCCAATATTCCAAGCTCTGCAGGATTCCCCTCTTCCAGCACTGGGCGAAGAGGGTCGAGAAGCTCGACACCGAGACAATAAAAAAGCGCCGAGACCCGACCCTCATTCAGCCTGAGGTGAGCCATCGATCAAGTCGACGTCGCTTTAAGCCTATTGAACGCAACACCCCCTCACATTCTACGTCAATTGCCGACCATTGCAGGAGATATCTGTCCGCTTGGACGCCGAACACGCGGTCATGTCGCTCACCGACACACTGAAGTACGAGAGGGAAAGGTCGGCGGTCCAGAAGATAGACCTCGAAGAGGATATCGAGAAGCGCGACGCGATCATCGCGACGCTGACAGCAGAGATAACCCGCCTCACAGAGGCACTCCGCGTCTCAGAAGCAAGGAGGATGCCAGAGGCGTCGCCAGCTGCGAACGAGCAGTCGCCGAGGGACGGTGGCTCCGCGGACTCGGCAAGCACGGGTTCCGGAGCCAAGAAACCCCCGAAACCCCCACAGACAGTCGAAGAGGCTAGTTACGAGCTCAACGTGGTGCAGCCTTGGCGGGATGCAACGACCGTGAGGGACGCGTGGCGCCTCTGGACCTCTTGCACCAGCGCCGACACCCGTCGTCTGTGCGACAGGTTTGCAGAGCCGGGGTTCGTCGACCGCCACACCCTCCTCAAAGGCGCGACGCAGGGAGCACTCGAGAAGAGGGTGCGCCGCATGATGAAGGTCATTGATGCAGTGCACCATCTTCGCCGGAGCGACGGCGAGGCCGACACAGAAGCCGTCGTCGCAGCGCTTAACAAGATAGTGGCGCCTGGCATTGGGACCTTCTCGGATGCACTCACGGTGCTCAACGCTGATGCCGTAGCGACGTACTCCCAGCCGGGTAAGGGCGTCAAGGGGCTCGGCAAGAGGGAATTTTCCAAGCTTCGTGTCGCCTGTGCGTTCGTGGCTCGCGGGCTGAAGCCGGAACAGTGGGTCGCTGACCTGTTCCCGGACACCTGGAAGGAGCAGATGAAGATGACGTTGGCCGACATGGCCGGGGAGGACGATGGGCAGCTGCCCCCGACCAAGAAGTCGCCCAAGCGCAAGAAGACCGCGTAAATGCTGTCGGCAACATGTTACTGTGGGATGTTACTGTGGGGTTTTGCATGTTTTGCATGTTGTCGACTTAAATGACCGTTTTGACATTGCTTAATCAACCACATATAGCATGATTGTGAGCTTCACACATTGCAAACGGGCGGCGTCGCCCACACAACACGTACGGCCTTCACCGAAATGCATTTGGACACCGACATATGAACATGACGGCACGCAAAAGTTGGTTGGCAAAAGGCCGGGGTGCATGGACGCATAGTGTTCTGGCTCACCTAGTTGTTGAATGGTTCGTCTGACATCCTACGTAAAGTCGACAATCACGCACACAAAAAACAACTACACTAGCATCAAAGAGATCCGACAGAGGAAATTCAAAACAAAACGACATCGACAAAAACAGCAGTGAATCCTAGCAAGCAGACCACCTATCACTCCAGCCGAACGCCGACTACACTGCCGTGCTGTCCTTGCCCTTCCTCCCCTTCTTCCCCGTGCCGTCCTTGCCCTTCCCCTTCGTCCCCTGCTTCCCCCTCTGACCCTTCCTCCCCCTGTGGTCAAGATCGGCCTTCATCTGCACCGCGATACTCCTCTTTTTGAGCTTCGGGCCGACGACGGGGCACATTCCCCAGAAAGCCATGGTCTCCACCGTCGCTCTAGCGACCACCTCAGCATCGACTCCCGCATCGCCCCCCGGATAGACCCTCTGCAGGGCGAGACTCTGCAGCGCTGGCGCGACGTTGAAGGCGACCTCCCCCAGGGGGCGGTCCCGGGTGATCTCGGCGTTCAGCACCGCCGCCATGACAGTTTCGAATACTTTGGCGGTCTCGTTGCTCGCACCGGCTATAAGCACCACCGCCTTCCCTTCTTCCACAGCATCGGCCACCTTGGCGTCGTCGTTCTCGACGAAGCACTAGACGGCGCATGCGGATGCCGCTAACGCCCATGCCGCCATCGCCGTCTTCTCCTCCTCGTCTCCCTCCTTCTTCGACGCGCTCGCAGCGGTCTTCCCGTACGCAACGCACATGGACACGCGACCTATCATGGCCGACATCATCTCCGCCGACTTCTCCTCTGGCACCCCCTCGACGGGGAACCACATCGCCGGCCAGAGCGCATCGTGGAGTGCATCGCCTGAGCTCTTGCACTCGTGATACGTGTCGAGGATATCATTGAGCCTGTCACGCAAGCACATCAAACAGAACGAACATAAGTGACAACGACATTATCCATCTATCGACTTGGGGCCGAAGGGTATCCGACTTACCGTGTCTTTGGAAGGAGCACACCCCGGGCCCACATCACCGTCCACATCCCTGTCGGCAAGATCTTGACCTCCTCCCACACCTTCCTCCACCTCTCCAGCTCGGCAGTGTCCAAGCCGGTGAGCTCGTCCATGAGCACCTTGCTCACGAAACCGTCGTAGACGACGAACGCGATGGAGTGCACATACGCGAGCTCCATCTTCTCGCGCGACTTGCTGATGTACCGATTAATGCCGTGCACCTTAATCTCGCCGACCCACCCTTGCCCGTCGCCCGAGCTGTCGTGACAGATGCCATGACCCCTCCTCTCTTTCTCCTTCGCCTTGTCCTTCCCCTCTTCCTCCTCCTGCTGCTCCTCCTCATCCTCCTCCTCCTCGTCGTCGTCATCGTCCTCCTTTTCCTCCTTCTCCTTCCTCTTCTCCGCCGCCTTCTCCCTCCCCTTTCTCCCTGTCGACGTACCCTCGCCGACCGTCTTCTCCTTCCCCTTTCTCCCCGTTGATGTACCCTCGCCGACCGACTTCTCCTGATTTTCCCCCGCTTTCCCCATCTCCACCGACATCACATCCGCCGCCGTCTCCTCCGCCTTCTCCTTCCCTTTTCCCGTCGCCTTCACCTCCGACTTCTGCCGTGTTTTCCTCTGAGAGCCCGCCTTCCCCTTCCGCTTCGCCTTTCCCTCGCCGACAGCATCATCGGTCGTTTTACGATCTGTCGAACCACCGGCGGGACTCGCCGGCTGCTCCGCATGTGCTGTGTCCGAAATGGCCAGTGTCCGAGGTTTGGCTGCATCCAGTTGGGCCTGTATGGCGGCGATATCCGCGTCGGGGGCGACCTCCTCAACTGGGCTGCTGCCTGTGGCAAGCGCGGCACGCACACCCTTCTCCGCCGCTTTCTCGACATCAGCCGCCACGGGAGTGGGTGCTGCGACATTCCCCGATGTCGGCGTCGCGTTAGACCCTAAACCCTGCCGAGTTGGCGCAGTCGACCCTCGTGTGCTCAACTGTTTGCGCAGCAAAGCGGACTTAGGGTCTGCAGGAGTACGGGCGGCGACGGCCGGCGCTACACGTGGTACACTGGCAGATGGCACGTCGACAGGGGGGGGAGGCTGTTGAGCAGCCCTGTGGCCCGCAAGGAGCCTGAGCTGGTCCTTGAGTGCGTTCGCAGCGGCCGCCCCTTTCCCCGCGCGGCTATCCTTGTCGGCAGACGGGACGTCGGCAGACGCGCCGGTCGGATGACGTGCACCCGCGGGAGGCTGTTTAGGAACCGCTGTCGCCTCCGCTATCTTGGCATTCGGCCCGTTAACGACTGGGGCCGTTTTGGCGGCGGGGGTTTCCTTATCGCTCAACCCCTTCCCTCCGCTCACATGAGCTCGTGGCTTCTCGGCGACCAAAGTCGGAGCACTTGGCACGGCGGTGTTCTGGTCGGCGGGACCCCCAGCTGCACTCCCTTCTCCATGGCCCGTGCTGGGCGATCCCACAGTAGCCCAGTGCCTCTTCAGGATGTCGACCACGGTCGTAGGTTGCTTTGCCGAGCTGTCTCCAGCTCCAGCGTCCCCAGCTCCCTTGCTGCCTTCGCCGGGGACGCGGGACCCACCAGCTCCCTTGCTGCCTTCGCCGGCCACGCGGGACCCACCAGCTCCCTTGCTGCCTTCGCCGGCCACGCGGGACCCACCAGCTCCCTTGCTACGCTTCACGCTCGTGGCGTCTTCTCCGTCTCCCCCGCCTCCGCCGCCCCCTCTCTTCTGACCATGCTTCTGGGCCTCCTTTGGATGCGGTTGGCCGGCGTCGTTCGCCGACGGCGACGACCCACGCCGATCAGGCGCCACCGTGCCGACCACCTCGGTCATTATCCTCAATCCGGAGGCGAGAAACGACTGCTGCGTCGCCTCCGTCACCACCTTCAGCACATCCTCCTTGAAGGACTTCAGTAACTCTTCTGGCAAGGCCTGCGCTGGGGCGATAGGCGGCGGCTGCTGCTGCACGACGAGGCGGGGTGCGACGGCGGCTGCAATGTTGGTCTGCGCGGCGCCGATGTATTTAATGACTGTCTCCTTCAAAAACTTCCTCGCATCACCCACCGCATTCGTCACGTGCTCGGCCAATGCGTTCGCCTCGGTCGCGCGTTCGACCGCCATTCTTCCGTTGGGGTCGTCAAGATCCCGCAGAATCTTGGCCGCAAGTTCGGCAAAGGACTTGCCAGCTTCAACCGCGCTAGCCATGTTGTCGGTGAGGTCGTCGGTGATGGTCGTCGCCATGGTCGACGTGGCGTCCTCGAGGCGCTTCGCCAAGTTCCGGTCGGTGTCGGCTACCTGAGCGGTCAAAGCCTTGAGCTTGTCGAGGATTCCAGCTAACGCCGACGCCAAGCTGTCGACCCGTCCCGTCTGTTCACCGAGCCGCCGTTCCAGTCGTGCATTGTCGGCCCGCAGTCGCCTGTTCTCCTCTCGCAGCTGCTCGACGATGTCCAGCCGCGCCTGCCGACCAGCTGCGGTGGAACCGGGGTGACCGCTCGCCGCCTTCTTCCTCCTAGACCGCTCCCCCCCGTGAGTCACTTCCACGCCCGTCTGCTTCGTGGCCGCGGCGTTATCCCCTTCTTCTACGGCCTCCAGGTCTACACCTCCCTCCCGATCGCCGACCACGACATTCCCACTCCCCCCGTGAGCCGCCTCCACGCCGACCTCCTCTTTCTCCTTTTCGAGATCCGCTGACATCGCACCCTTCCCCTCCCCTTCCTCGTTCTCAACGTCTGCCGACCTTTCACCCGTTTCTGCCGCTCCAGCAGCTACAGACTCCACCTCCAGTTCTTCCTCCTGTTCCTCCACCTCCAACTCCACCTCTTCCTCCTGCTCCCCCTCTAGCTGCTTCTCCTGCTCCTGCTCTTTATGCTCCACCTCCTCCTGCTTCTCCTGCTCCTCTTCCTCCTCCTCCCCTTCCGACTCCGACTCCAAACGACCCTCCTCACGATCCTCGTCCTGGTGCTTCTCCTCGGTACCAGTTACCCCCTTTCCAGCCTCCGCATCATCCTCGTCGACGCCGCCTCCCGGCTTTCCTATCGTGGTCCCATGCGCATCAGCGACGGTGCGGGCGACACCGACTGCTTGGAATGCCGAATGGACCTCCTCGCCGTCGTCGTCACAGGCGTCGGCAGCAACTCCGACCTGGCCCGCCCGTTTGCGCGCTACTAGCTTCTTGATCCAGGCCACCATATCAGTCCGCAGCTTCTTCAACCCCGAAACGTTGACCTTGTCCATGCTGGTGACACTGCGACGAAGGCCGCCTGTCAGGAGATCCATCCGCCTCACAGCCCAAAGCAGCGCGCTCATTGCTAGCAGACCGAAGCCAGCGTCCCCGTCCCGGACGGCGTTGGCCACTTTCTGCAAACAACAGTGCAGAGAGCGAGGATGAGCACCGCGGTCGGCAGCATAGGACGGCAAATTCGTTCGGAACTCACATCTCGAAGGGGGCGATCGCAGTCGGCGAGCCTCTCCTGCACCTCTTCTTCGGACGGCTTCGCCCACTCCCATTTCCTACCATCGCGCCGCAGCTCGGCCAGAACCGCCTCCCGGAAAAACCTGCATACGCATGGCACAGACGGTGGGTAAGAATGGGGCACGCTCCGCTGGTAGTTTGCATGCAACGACGACTACACTGTCGAGCTCACTTCAGCACGCGGATCGCCTCGTCGCGGTGCCATTCCTTCACTGTCTGCGGGTCGGCGTGCCTGATCGATGTCCTGATCTTCTGCCCTGATGCCTTCAACAAATCACCGGGGTACAGAATGATCACGACGCTGCAATGTGATCCTGGGAGCGGTGCGATGCTGCACAGACAAGGCATGTCGACGTCGCTCAGAACAGGTCACCGACACAGGTTGCAGAACACACCAGGGCGACCCCGAACCAGCTCACCTTGAGAACAGCTGGATAACCGCTACGTCGGCGTCGAAAACAGTCGCAAAGCATTTGTGGTCGCCCTGACCCATCGCCGCCCGAAGCCGGCCGCTTCCTATCGACCACAATCGCTTGTCGGCCGACGTCGCGCGCATCCATGCGTGCCTGCACGTATGCATAGTACGAAGAAGTGAGCGACGGGGTGCACGGCACGACGGTGGATCACCCTCGCGGCGGTGCGATGAAGAGAGACGAACGACTATGGCACAACCCAGCGCCGACGCCGACCTAACACCGTACGTCGACGTCAACGACGTGGTCCACATGAACCCTAAACTCGTCGACCTAAACGACGGGTCGCATGGAACCCCTAAGCTCGACCAGCATGGAAGCCGGTGGAAGACGCCGACATCCACTTACTTGAGGCCGAGTCCCAAGCAGCGGGCGTTAAACTCTAGGCTATGGTTTGTGAGAACGGCGTAGTCGTGTTCCTCGAACTTGGCAGTGAGTCCTCTACCGATGTCAAGATACAGGGGGAAGTCCCGCGAGGTCGGCGCCGCTTCGGCGGCGTTTCGGTCGACCGCCATGGCGGGAAAGCGAGGATGCTACAGGCTAAGGGAAGAAACGGTGGGTGTATGGAGGGCGCAGAGCTGGGAAAAAAGACGAAAGAGAAACGAGAAGGCGAAAATGAGGGGCGAGACCACATCCCACAAAGAAAAGCGAGGCGGAGCCTCGCAGGCCCGGTTGAGCATCGTCCCAAGGGGTCGTTGGGCCTGGCTTGGCAGGGCTCACGCACATGTGGCGTGGCACAAGTGCACTTCGCCGCCGAGGCAGCAGGTCGACGTCACGTCCCCAAGCCTCCGTCGGCCAGGGGGCGCAGATTCGCATGCGCGAATTCGGTGCGACGTTTCGGCCGACACGTGTCGATTTCGCAGCGGGTCGCGAAAACATTGCGCCGCGATGCGTGCTAAGTCGAATGTCGCTCGGATTTCGGCGGAACATCCCACCTCGCATGCATTCGATGCGAATTCACGGGCGCACACGTGGCGCCACCGCAACGGGTCGCGAAAGTGTCGAGCTTCCCGAGGGGAGCACCCGAATCTCGCATGGCCCTCGCTTGCCCGTCCGGGCAGGTCGCGAGGGTCACTAGGACTTCGCGGGCAGCGGGGACGGGAGGGCTGCCTTCGCGCGAGGGTAACTTTCCCTCTCGCGAGGGGGTCGCCACATCGCCGCCCCCACACGGTAACGTGGGGCGCTGTTCACTCTCGGGGAGGGGTTTCGGGGCGGCGGTCGTGCGCCTGGCCCAGCCCTGGGCCAGGCTGGCGGGCCCGAACGCGCGTCAGTCGCCCGCCTCGTCACGCCCGGCTCCGACGACCCCCTCTGACGACCCAGGCAAATCGGCTCCGACGACCGAATTGCGCTGGGATGTTCAGCATAGTATAGCTTAGCGGACGAAAAACGCCGCCCAATTTCGCGGTAGGGAAAGGACAACGCCCCTCCTTGGACTCGACGAACAACCGACGACCTCCGCGTGGAAAGCTCGGGCGAACAGGCTGGGCTCAGTGCCAGCGAGCCCTCGGGATTGACGACGACCTGACGACCTAGGTTTTCGCTGAGACAAACCCGAGAAGTATCTCTCAGCGCGTGGCAAAAACCCAGCTCGTCACGTCGGGCTGCGATTATCGCCACGCGGCCAGGAATGAACGTCCGAGATCGTCCTCAAGTTGGCGGGGCCACCGAGGTCTGCCACGACAGCCACGACGAGCCCACGCGGCACCAGTTGAGACGGGGTGCTTTGCGTGGGAAATATTCGCGCCGGGTAGGGACCAGGTCGGCGCGTACCACGCGGCCTCCATCCGACGGTTGCCCCGATGCCCAAGGCAACATCACGACCGTTCCCTACTCAGGCTAGGTGCAACGGATCTTCAGGCGCCGGGAATGTCGGCGTCGACCACACGAGCATCTTCGGGGTGCCACGCGTCAGTGCCAAACGCCCTCGAACTACTGCGCGGGGAGTCTCCAGCAAGGTTTTCAGGGAGCGATGCACCAAAATCGGGACCACGCCACGTAGCGCACGCACGACCCAGCGTGTAACAGCCATGAAAATCGCCTCCTGGGCGAAGCGCTTTTCGGAAACCAGCCATGCATGGCTGGTGGCACGTTGGACACGGCGCCGCCGCACGAGGGTACATGCATAGCGGCGTCCTGCACAGGGAGTTGCGTGGAGAACGGCAGGTGCGAAGTCGCCCACGACCATACCCATCTGGGATCCCAGTAAATGTCGCTCATTCTGCCTTCCACTCCGGGTTTGTTCCACCCGCTATCTGGCACTTAGTTTTTTTTCTACTCCCTTTCACACTCCTCGCGTGCAGGACAGTCACTCCGCCGACCAGATGTCGTAGTCGGCGTCGACAAATTGGCCAGAGAGACTGATAAGAGACGTCGCCGATACTTGTTTAGGAGACCGCCAAGTTATAGGCACTTGCGAGAGAATTCGAGCGTGACGCCCGAGAAGCGCATAGGATAAACACCGCCAACGGGACTCACTACCGCCAGCATTGGGCCGCCGCGATCCACGTTCACCGTAGATCAAACGCCTGAAATCACATGGCCGACGTCGACATGACAGACGGTCCTACCCCTGCGAGCCATGGGGGAGACGGCCGACCGGTGGAGTGTACAACGACCAGTAATCCATCGTCGACCCTGCCGCTGCTTTACGATCTCGACGCACTGTCACAAATCCCGGCAGGCGAGTTCACCAAGGACATTCCGCCCGCGCCCATAGGGGAATTTACGAAACCACGCAAATCGACGGCACCGACAAATGCTGGGGAGGCCGGGACGTCGTCGGTGCCGACGAATGCTGGGGAGACCGGACTGTCGTCGGTGCCGACGAATGCTGGGGAGGCCGGACCGTCGTCGGTGCCGGACGGAGCGGGCGATCAGGATGAGGAAAGTGACGACGCTTCATCGTGCAGCGACGATGAAGACGAAGACGACCCACGGCCTCGACGTGGCGCAGGTCCGCGCACGTTGGAAGAGAAGCTCAGGGGGGAACGTGCGTTCATAGAGGATCTGTTGGACGAGGACGAGCTTGAGGACCTGTTAAACATGGCGGTGCCACGAGAACAGTGGAAGGCGGCCGACTTCGTCGAGGAAGATATGGTCTACGCGTGCGTCGACGTACTCGTGATGGAGGCAATGCGCCACCTGAAAACCCTGGAGGCTAAGAGCACGCTGAAGCTGTACACCTCTTGGATTTACCACTACAAGAGGTGGGCGGCGAAGATGCTGAAGGAAATACGCAACAAGCTTTCGGGTGGGGAAAGAACGAGGCACGTCGACAAAATCGGGTACTGGATCCACTGCAACAAGAGCAAGGATTGGGACAACGAGAAGGTGGTCAAACGGAAGTACATCTGGCTGCACGGCCCGCGTGTCACTGAGTCGCGACTGCGCGCCTACATCAAGTTCTTAAGGCGGGAGTACAAGATCGACGCCGAGACGAACGCGCCGGTGAAATCGAACACGGTGCACATGATCCTAGGCCGCATCAAGGCCTGCCAGATGGCGGCGAGGGTGGAGGCGACTCTCTTCAAGGAGAAGGAGTTGGGCATCATGCGGGAAATCTCGGTGGTCCGGTCGGAGGTGCGGGTCATGGTCCGCACAAAAAATCAGAACGACGTCAGGTAAGTTGGCATACACACCCGAGCTCTGTCTCCTTTGATTTGTGGTCGGCGACATAAGACACATCTCTTCTTATTGCTTCGTCGACAGGAATTGCGCGGACCATCGACGCGGCACCATCGGCGACACATACACCGCCGAACAGTTCCGCCAGATCATGATGAGGGTGCTGCCAACCTGGGTGGCATCGGCGTGGAACCCGCGGGCAACCACTCCTTCGCAGACGCTGTGGAGGTTTCTTCTCGTGAAGGTGCTCACGCTACTCTCCCACCACAGTCTCCTGCGTGGGGCCAGCATCCGCGAAATCACACTCCCCGACATCTTCTTGTACCGACTGGCTAGCACCTCGTCGGTGAACCCGGAAAACCAGCCGGTCGTCATGGTGATCGCCGCACGGAACTCGAAGACGTCCAAGGATGCGCGTCTTCAGCAGAGCTACGCGGCGCGGCACCTCGAAGCGGAGTTGTGCGCCGTCGGCGAGACCGGCCTGTGGCTGCACTTCATCCTCGACCAGATCCGTCAGTTTCACGGCGTCGACCTCATCCCGCCGGTGGACACCAGCACGCGCGAGCGCTGGTACAAGAAGCACCTGTTCTTCGCCCGCAACGACGAGGAGCAAATGGAACTCCCTGCTGCCAGCCACCAGCGATGGACGAGGCAGATGTGGAAGACGAACGGTGTGTTCTGCAAGCGGAACGTCCACGCCGCTCGAGCAGGCGGGGCGCAGGAGCTGGCCATCGACGGTACGTCTCGCGCCGAGATAGCCGAGCTGGGTCACTGGGCGATCGACAAGATGACTCGAGCTTACATCACCGCCATTCCCGTCGGCGTGGTGATGAAGAAGGCCGGCTATTCGGGTGCCAAACAGGACTACTTCTTGGGTCGCAGCAGGGTGGAACCCGGCGACGAACTCCTGGCGCTCATCGCCGAGTACATCTTCCCGGGCGTTGACGACCTGGTTAAGAAGGTATTTTAATCGACGCCGCCTACGTTACGACCAAGGGTTAGACCTTCGTTACGCCGCCTGCTTTAGGGTTTAGACCTAGTATCGTTCGACTGGCCAACTGTAATCACCCGCTTCTGTTGTCAAATTGCAGGCTGAAGAACTCGCGAAAATGGGGTCCGAGGCCGACTTTGCGCCGTGCATTTCTGGCGCACCCTCCAGATCATGCGCCGCATTGTCGTCGAAGACCTCGCTGTGAAACTCGTCCGCACCCCTTGGCATCCGTACGTCCAATATTCCAAGCTCTGCAGGATTCCCCTCTTCCAGCACTGGGCGAAGAGGGTCGAGAAGCTCGACACCGAGACAATAAAAAAGCGCCGAGACCCGACCCTCATTCAGCCTGAGGTGAGCCATCGATCAAGTCGACGTCGCTTTAAGCCTATTGAACGCAACACCCCCTCACATTCTACGTCAATTGCCGACCATTGCAGGAGATATCTGTCCGCTTGGACGCCGAACACGCGGTCATGTCGCTCACCGACACACTGAAGTACGAGAGGGAAAGGTCGGCGGTCCAGAAGATAGACCTCGAAGAGGATATCGAGAAGCGCGACGCGATCATCGCGACGCTGACAGCAGAGATAACCCGCCTCACAGAGGCACTCCGCGTCTCAGAAGCAAGGAGGATGCCAGAGGCGTCGCCAGCTGCGAACGAGCAGTCGCCGAGGGACGGTGGCTCCGCGGACTCGGCAAGCACGGGTTCCGGAGCCAAGAAACCCCCGAAACCCCCACAGACAGTCGAAGAGGCTAGTTACGAGCTCAACGTGGTGCAGCCTTGGCGGGATGCAACGACCGTGAGGGACGCGTGGCGCCTCTGGACCTCTTGCACCAGCGCCGACACCCGTCGTCTGTGCGACAGGTTTGCAGAGCCGGGGTTCGTCGACCGCCACACCCTCCTCAAAGGCGCGACGCAGGGAGCACTCGAGAAGAGGGTGCGCCGCATGATGAAGGTCATTGATGCAGTGCACCATCTTCGCCGGAGCGACGGCGAGGCCGACACAGAAGCCGTCGTCGCAGCGCTTAACAAGATAGTGGCGCCTGGCATTGGGACCTTCTCGGATGCACTCACGGTGCTCAACGCTGATGCCGTAGCGACGTACTCCCAGCCGGGTAAGGGCGTCAAGGGGCTCGGCAAGAGGGAATTTTCCAAGCTTCGTGTCGCCTGTGCGTTCGTGGCTCGCGGGCTGAAGCCGGAACAGTGGGTCGCTGACCTGTTCCCGGACACCTGGAAGGAGCAGATGAAGATGACGTTGGCCGACATGGCCGGGGAGGACGATGGGCAGCTGCCCCCGACCAAGAAGTCGCCCAAGCGCAAGAAGACCGCGTAAATGCTGTCGGCAACATGTTACTGTGGGATGTTACTGTGGGGTTTTGCATGTTTTGCATGTTGTCGACTTAAATGACCGTTTTGACATTGCTTAATCAACCACATATAGCATGATTGTGAGCTTCACACATTGCAAACGGGCGGCGTCGCCCACACAACACGTACGGCCTTCACCGAAATGCATTTGGACACCGACATATGAACATGACGGCACGCAAAAGTTGGTTGGCAAAAGGCCGGGGTGCATGGACGCATAGTGTTCTGGCTCACCTAGTTGTTGAATGGTTCGTCTGACATCCTACGTAAAGTCGACAATCACGCACACAAAAAACAGCTACACTAGCATCAAAGAGATCCGACAGAGGAAATTCAAAACAAAACGACATCGACAAAAACAGCAGTGAATCCTAGCAAGCAGACCACCTATCACTCCAGCCGAACGCCGACTACACTGCCGTGCTGTCCTTGCCCTTCCTCCCCTTCTTCCCCGTGCCGTCCTTGCCCTTCCCCTTCGTCCCCTGCTTCCCCCTCTGACCCTTCCTCCCCCTGTGGTCAAGATCGGCCTTCATCTGCACCGCGATACTCCTCTTTTTGAGCTTCGGGCCGACGACGGGGCACATTCCCCAGAAAGCCATGGTCTCCACCGTCGCTCTAGCGACCACCTCAGCATCGACTCCCGCATCGCCCCCCGGATAGACCCTCTGCAGGGCGAGACTCTGCAGCGCTGGCGCGACGTTGAAGGCGACCTCCCCCAGGGGGCGGTCCCGGGTGATCTTGGCGTTCAGCACCGCCGCCATGACAGTTTCGAATACTTTGGCGGTCTCGTTGCTCGCACCGGCTATAAGCACCACCGCCTTCCCTTCTTCCACAGCATCGGCCACCTTGGCGTCGTCGTTCTCGACGAAGCACTAGACGGCGCATGCGGATGCCGCTAACGCCCATGCCGCCATCGCCGTCTTCTCCTCCTCGTCTCCCTCCTTCTTCGACGCGCTCGCAGCGGTCTTCCCGTACGCAACGCACATGGACACGCGACCTATCATGGCCGACATCATCTCCGCCGACTTCTCCTCTGGCACCCCCTCGACGGGGAACCACATCGCCGGCCAGAGCGCATCGTGGAGCGCATCGCCTGAGCTCTTGCACTCGTGATACGTGTCGAGGATATCATTGAGCCTGTCACGCAAGCACATCAAACAGAACGAACATAAGTGACAACGACATTATCCATCTATCGACTTGGGGCCGAAGGGTATCCGACTTACCGTGTCTTTGGAAGGAGCACACCCCGGGCCCACATCACCGTCCACATCCCTGTCGGCAAGATCTTGACCTCCTCCCACACCTTCCTCCACCTCTCCAGCTCGGCAGTGTCCAAGCCGGTGAGCTCGTCCATGAGCACCTTGCTCACGAAACCGTCGTAGACGACGAACGCGATGGAGTGCACATACGCGAGCTCCATCTTCTCGCGCGACTTGCTGATGTACCGATTAATGCCGTGCACCTTAATCTCGCCGACCCACCCTTGCCCGTCGCCCGAGCTGTCGTGACAGATGCCATGACCCCTCCTCTCTTTCTCCTTCGCCTTGTCCTTCCCCTCTTCCTCCTCCTGCTGCTCCTCCTCATCCTCCTCCTCCTCGTCGTCGTCATCGTCCTCCTCTTCCTCCTTCTCCTTCCTCTTCTCCGCCGCCTTCTCCCTCCCCTTTCTCCCTGTCGACGTACCCTCGCCGACCGTCTTCTCCTTCCCCTTTCTCCCCGTTGATGTACCCTCGCCGACCGACTTCTCCTGATTTTCCCCCGCTTTCCCCATCTCCACCGACATCACATCCGCCGCCGTCTCCTCCGCCTTCTCCTTCCCTTTTCCCGTCGCCTTCACCTCCGACTTCTGCCGTGTTTTCCTCTGAGAGCCCGCCTTCCCCTTCCGCTTCGCCTTTCCCTCGCCGACAGCATCATCGGTCGTTTTACGATCTGTCGAACCACCGGCGGGACTCGCCGGCTGCTCCGCATGTGCTGTGTCCTAAATGGCCAGTGTCCGAGGTTTGGCTGCATCCAGTTGGGCCTGTATGGCGGCGATATCCGCGTCGGGGGCGACCTCCTCAACTGGGCTGCTGCCTGTGGCAAGCGCGGCACGCACACCCTTCTCCGCCGCTTTCTCGACATCAGCCGCCACGGGAGTGGGTGCTGCGACATTCCCCGATGTCGGCGTCGCGTTAGACCCTAAACCCTGCCGAGTTGGCGCAGTCGACCCTCGTGTGCTCAACTGTTTGCGCAGCAAAGCGGACTTAGGGTCTGCAGGAGTACGGGCGGCGACGGCCGGCGCTACACGTGGCACACTGGCAGATGGCACGTCGACAGGGGGGGGAGGCTGTTGAGCAGCCCTGTGGCCCGCAAGGAGCCTGAGCTGGTCCTTGAGTGCGTTCGCAGCGGCCGCCCCTTTCCCCGCGCGGCTATCCTTGTCGGCAGACGGGACGTCGGCAGACGCGCCGGTCGGATGACGTGCACCCGCGGGAGGCTGTTTAGGAACCGCTGTCGCCTCCGCTATCTTGGCATTCGGCCCGTTAACGACTGGGGCCGTTTTGGCGGCGGGGGTTTCCTTATCGCTCAACCCCTTCCCTCCGCTCACATGAGCTCGTGGCTTCTCGGCGACCAAAGTCGGAGCACTTGGCACGGCGGTGTTCTGGTCGGCGGGACCCCCAGCTGCACTCCCTTCTCCATGGCCCGTGCTGGGCGATCCCACAGTAGCCCAGTGCCTCTTCAGGATGTCGACCACGGTCGTAGGTTGCTTTGCCGAGCTGTCTCCAGCTCCAGCGTCCCCAGCTCCCTTGCTGCCTTCGCCGGGGACGCGGGACCCACCAGCTCCCTTGCTGCCTTCGCCGGCCACGCGGGACCCACCAGCTCCCTTGCTGCCTTCGCCGGCCACGCGGGACCCACCAGCTCCCTTGCTACGCTTCACGCTCGTGGCGTCTTCTCCGTCTCCCCCGCCTCCGCCGCCCCCTCTCTTCTGACCATGCTTCTGGGCCTCCTTTGGATGCGGTTGGCCGGCGTCGTTCGCCGACGGCGACGACCCACGCCGATCAAGCGCCACCGTGCCGACCACCTCGGTCATTATCCTCAATCCGGAGGCGAGAAACGACTGCTGCGTCGCCTCCGTCACCACCTTCAGCACATCCTCCTTGAAGGACTTCAGTAACTCTTCCGGCAAGGCCTGCGCTGGGGCGATAGGCGGCGGCTGCTGCTGCATGACGAGGCGGGGTGCGACGGCGGCTGCAATGTTGGTCTGCGCGGCGTCGATGTATTTAATGACTGTCTCCTTCAAAAACTTCCTCGCATCACCCACCGCATTCGTCACGTGCTCGGCCAATGCGTTCGCCTCGGTCGCGCGTTCGACCGCCATTCTTCCGTTGGGGTCGTCAAGATCCCGCAGAATCTTGGCCGCAAGTTCGGCAAAGGACTTGCCAGCTTCAACCGCGCTGGCCATGTTGTCGGTGAGGTCGTCGGTGATGGTCGTCGCCATGGTCGACGTGGCGTCCTCGAGGCGCTTCGCCAAGTTCCGGTCGGTGTCGGCTACCTGAGCGGTCAAAGCCTTGAGCTTGTCGAGGATTCCAGCTAACGCCGACGCCAAGCTGTCGACCCGTCCCGTCTGTTCACCGAGCCGCCGTTCCAGTCGTGCATTGTCGGCCCGCAGTCGCCTGTTCTCCTCTCGCAGCTGCTCGACGATGTCCAGCCGCGCCTGCCGACCAGCTGCGGTGGAACCGGGGTGACCGCTCGCCGCCTTCTTCCTCCTAGACCGCTCCCCCCCGTGAGTCACTTCCACGCCCGTCTGCTTCGTGGCCGCGGCGTTATCCCCTTCTTCTACGGCCTCCAGGTTTACACCTCCCTCCCGATCGCCGACCACGACATTCCCACTCCCCCCGTGAGCCGCCTCCACGCCGACCTCCTCTTTCTCCTTTTCGAGATCCGCTGACATCGCACCCTTCCCCTCCCCTTCCTCGTTCTCAACGTCTGCCGACCTTTCACCCGTTTCTGCCGCTCCAGCAGCTACAGACTCCACCTCCAGTTCTTCCTCCTGTTCCTCCACCTCCAACTCCACCTCTTCCTCCTGCTCCCCCTCTAACTGCTTCTCCTGCTCCTGCTCTTTATGCTCCACCTCCTCCTGCTTCTCCTGCTCCTCTTCCTCCTCCTCCCCTTCCGACTCCGACTCCGACTCCAAACGACCCTCCTCACGATCCTCCTCCGAGCCCCCCTCCTCCTCACGATCCTCATCACGATCCTCGTCCTGGTGCTTCTCCTCGGTACCAGTTACCCCCTTTCCAGCCTCCGCATCATCCTCGTCGACGCCGCCTCCCGGCTTTCCTATCGTGGTCCCATGCGCATCAGCGACGGTGCGGGCGACACCGACTGCTTGGAATGCCGAATGGACCTCCTCGCCGTCGTCGTCACAGGCGTCGGCAGCAACTCCGACCTGGCCCGCCCGTTTGCGCGCTACTAGCTTCTTCATCCAGGCCACCATATCAGTCCGCAGCTTCTTCAACCCCGAAACGTTGACCTTGTCCATGCTGGTGACACTGCGACGAAGGCCGCCTGTCAGGAGATCCATCCGCCTCACAGCCCAAAGCAGCGCGCTCATTGCTAGCAGACCGAAGCCAGCGTCCCCGTCCCGGACGGCGTTGGCCACTTTCTGCAAACAACAGTGCAGAGAGCGAGGATGAGCACCGCGGTCGGCAGCATAGGACGGCAAATTCGTTCGGAACTCACATCTCGAAGGGGGCGATCGCAGTCGGCGAGCCTCTCCTGCACCTCTTCTTCGGACGGCTTCGCCCACTCCCATTTCCTACCATCGCGCCGCAGCTCGGCCAGAACCGCCTCCCGGAAAAACCTGCATACGCATGGCACAGATGGTGGGTAAGAATGGGACACGCTCCGCTGGTAGTTTGCATGCGACGACGACTACACTATCGAGCTCACTTCAGCACGCGGATCGCCTCGTCGCGGTGCCATTCCTTCACTGTCTGCGGGTCGGCGTGCCTGATCGATGTCCTGATCTTCTGCCCCGATGCCTTCAACAAATCGCCGGGGTACAGAATGATCACGATGCTGCAATGTGATCCTGGGAGCGGTGCGATGCTGCACAGACAAGGCATGTCGACGTCGCTCAGAACAGGTCACCAACACAGGTTGCAGAACACACCAGGGCGACCCCGAACCAGCTCACCTCGAGAACAGCTGGATAACCGCTACGTCGGCGTCGAAAACAGTCGCAAAGCATGTGTGGTCGCCCTGACCCATCGCCGCCCGAAGCCGGCCGCTTCCTATCGACCACAATCGCTTGTCGGCCGACGTCGCGTGCATCCATGCGTGCCTGCACGTATGCATAGTACGAAGAAGTGAGCGACGGGGTGCACGGCACGACGGTGGATCACCCTCGCGGCGGTGTAATGAAGAGAGACGAACGACTATGGCACAACCCAGCGCGGACGCCGACCTAACACCGTACGTCGACGTCAACGACGTGGTCGACATGAACCCTAAACTCGTCGACCTAAACGACGGGTCGCATGGAACCCCTAAGCTCGACCAGCATGGAAGCCGGTGGAAGACGCCGACATCCACTTACTTGAGGCCGAGTCCCAAGCAGCGGGCGTTAAACTCTAGGCTATGGTTTGTGAGAACGGCGTAGTCGTGTTCCTCGAACTTGGCAATGAGTCATCTACCGATGTCAAGATACAGGGGGAAGTCCTGCGAGGTCGGCGCCGCTTCGGCGGCGTTCCGGTCGACCGCCATGGCAGGAAAGCGAGGATGCTACAGGCTAAGGGAAGAAACGGTGGGTGTATGGAGGGCGCAGAGCTGGGAAAAAAGACGAAAGAGAAACGAGAAGGCGAAAATGAGGGGCGAGACCACATCCCACAAAGAAAAGCGAGGCGGAGCCTCGCAGGCCCGGTTGAGCATCGTCCCAAGGGGTCGTTGGGCCTGGCTCGGCAGGGCTCACGCACATGTGGCGTGGCACAAGTGCACTTCGCCGCCGAGGCAGCAGGTCGACGTCACGTCCCCAAGCCTCCGTCGGCCAGGGGGCGCAGATTCGCATGCGCGAATTCGGTGCGACGTTTCGGCCGACACGTGTCGATTTCGCAGCGGGTCGCGAAAACATTGCGCCGCGATGCGTGCTAAGTCGAATGTCGCTCGGATTTCGGCGGAACATCCCACCTCGCATGCATTCGATGCGAATTCACGGTCGCACACGTGGCGCCACCGCAACGGGTCGCGAAAGTGTCGAGCTTCCCGAGGGGAGCACCCGAATCTCGCATGGCCCTCGCTTGCCCGTCCGGGCAGGTCGCGAGGGTCACTAGGACTTCGCGGGCAGCGGGGACGGGAGGGCTGCCTTCGCGCGAGGGTAACTTTCCCTCTCGCGAGGGGGTCGCCACATCGCCGCCCCCACACGGTAACGTGGGGCGCTGTTCACTCTCGGGGAGGGGTTTCGGGGCGGCGGTCGTGCGCCCGGCCCAGCCCTGGGCCAGGCTGGCGGGCCCGCACGCGCGTCAGTCGCCCGCCTCGTCACGCCCGGCTCCGACGACCCCCTCTGACGACCCAGGCAAATCGGCTCCGACGACCGAATTGCGCTGGGATGTTCAGCGAAACACTTCCCTACACCTTCTAAATTTGATTGGAGTGTAAATGTGTTGGGCAGGAAGAGGAGACGGTCCTAGCTTGATATATGTTTAACATAAAAAATAAAATATCCAGCCCAGCCTTCTCAGCATCTTCACAACATCAAGACTTCAATTTCATGCACCCCTCACACCACTACCGTATGATGGTATCTGGCACTTGCAGTACCCAATCCTGAGGGAGAGAGTGAAACTCAAGCAACAACCAAAGCATATAAAAATCAAGAGTTTTTAGTCTGAAAGCTGGACAGCTGACAAATATATGTTTATTATCATAAGGGGACTTTTTATAGGCCCAGCAATATGCTGTACTGCACAATGGAATTTATAGGCATGCAAGAAACATAGAAAAGAAAAGGGAGCCAAGCCAAGCAACCCAAAAAAGAAATACGAAGTTATACAATAGTAGTTGCATAATAGTGGAAGTAATATAGAAAGGCGGGGCTCACAGCCTCACACCATAATGTTTGAAAGGAAACTGAAGCCACTCATTTAACGAGGCACACATATGTACTTGGCCCCGACCTTCGCAGCACAGGCCTTGCCATTGTAGGTATTGAAATCTGAAGCTGCTTGGGTCATAGTGCCACCATAGAAGCTGTAAGCACCGGAACAGGTCAGCGATGGGGACACGTTCTTGGGCCGGCCCTTATTGCATTTACCGAGTAGAAACGGCCAGTAATCCGCTTGCAGACATACCTGGGGGCACCACGTGGGGCACGGGTAGAAAAGACAAGAGAAGGAAGAACGATAGGACGATGGGAACAGGAAAGGTTGGGAGCAAAGCAAAGACAGACACTTTAAGTGCACCTGATGATTGATTAGCTCCAAATCTCCTCATTCTCCCACTTGCCACTTCCCGCTGCGCCTCACCTTCCTCCACCCTTTTCTTTCCCACTTCCACTTCTCACCTGCACGCCGATTTTGTTGCCAACAGCCGAGGTAGTGAATGGGACGGTGTTGGAGCAGACGAGGCCGGGGTTGTTGCGGTAGAGCTCAGCCCAGGTGGAGGGAGTGCTTGGCAGTCCCAACCCCTGCAGCAATTTCTCGCACGTGCTTTGTGCTGCGAGCGTGGCGTATTTCACACACTGGGGGACGCTGTAGGCGTAGGTTCCGTTGCGCTCCACACAGATAGAGCGGCCGGGCTTGATGGTTTGCGTGCAGTCAAGGCCGGGGTTGAGGTCTGTGAGATCGTCTCTTGTGAGTTTGATTGAACTGGCTATGGACGCACATGTGTCACCCTGGATGGTGAAAGGGAGTATGGATGGAAGAGGACAGAAGGGATGGAAGAGGATGAAAGGATGGAGGCATAGCACTTCGTGCACCAAAAGCAAAAAAAAATAAAAATAAAATTAAAAATAAAAAAAGAGAACAAAACAAACAAGAATCCATCATCCATAGCTATGATTATTTATAATGGCTCCAGGACTCACACTGAGAACGTAGAAGAAGGCAGTGCAGGGGATGACAGGAGATTCAGCGAGCTGAAGCACCGTCCCTTTAGACAGCGCTTTGTTGCATGCAACAGCCTGCATTAGGCAGTACATGAATTGGGAATTACAGGCATTAAAATCTTACATCCATTTGAAACTTCAAGAATTTGGAAGCACATGCATTTTGAAGCACATGCATGAGGGTTTCGGGCCAGCTGCAAATACTGATTCTAAACAACAAAGCAGAGAAACATGGCAAACAACAATCCCACTGTCAACCTGCCTATTCAGGTTATAGGCAACTAACCTGTTCGTTGCAGCCTATTCAGTCCCTCGCGTGCCTTCCTAGCTCAGTCAACCCTTCAAATTGATATCTCCTTACCGAATTCAGTCCAACCCTTTCAATTGATATCTCCTCACCGAATTCAGTCCAACCCTTTCAATTGATATCTCCTTACCGAATTCAGTCCAACCCTTTCAATTGATATCTCCTTACCGAATTCAGTCCAACCCTTTCAATTGATATCTCCTCACCGAATTCAGTCCAACCCTTTCAATTGATATCTCCTTACCGAATTCAGTCCAACCCTTTCAATTGATATCTCCTTACCGAATTCAGTCCAACCCTTTCAATTGATATCTCCTTACTGAATTCAGTCCAACCCTTCCAATTGATATCTCCTTACCGAATTCAGTCCAACCCTTCCAGCTGATCTCTTGTCACCGAATTCTGCTGTGAAAGCCACAGGCTGGAAAACCCTGCGAGGGAATACCATTCTGATTACACGTCCCAGCACAGCTAAGGCGACTTCTGACTCGACTCAACAGTCAATTCTGTCCTTCCTTCCCATGCCTGACGATCTCCCCTTACCGAGTTCTGCTGAGTGAAGTGGATGGTGGAGAGCCTAGTAAGAGAATAGACGAGGTGACTTTTGAGTCGACTCAAAAGTCACCCAGTAAGAGAATAGACGCTGGCGCACTGCCAGTTTGACTTTTGAGTCGACTCACGCCCACACACTCAAAAGTCTATCTGTGATTCCCACGCCTGATAATATCTCCTTACTGTGTTCTGCTGTGTGAACTGCGTGCTGGAGAGCCCTGCGAGGGAATACACGTCTGCGCACTGCCAGTTGTCACCAATCACTGTCATGCTGGTAGCAGTCACGTTAGCTGGAGGGGAAAAAGAGAGGAAGAGGGAGGAGGGGAACAACAGATCAGAAACTGGATAACAAAACTCTTTCGACCTGCACAGAATATAATTTTTGTTCAGCCAAAGGGACAAGCTGAGGTTTGAAGAGGCTCAAACGATACCAAGGGCGAGGCGAGGGAGAGAAGCATAGAAGGAAGGGTGATGATGCTCACTTCCTTGTGCATCGTGTGCCATGGTAACGAGGTGACTTTTGAGTCGACTCAAAACTCACCTCAGCCAAAGGGACAAGTTGAGGTTTGAAGAGGCTCAAATGATACCAAGGGCGAGGCGAGGGAGACAAGGATAGAAGGAAGGGCGATGATGCTCACTTCCTTGTGCATCCCTCAACTAGGTTTCAGTTTATTCTAAAAGCATCCCCAAGCTCAACTGGTGACAGTCGTTCAGCATAAGAGTAACATGTTTCTCACAGTAGTACAACACCTAGAAATACAAATTTTGTTGAAACGGGTACAGGGGAGTGAGCCGTTGGAGGGAAGAGGAGGCACAGGAGGGTGGGGGAGGAGCAGCACCTGTGTCGCAGGTGGGGAAGCTATATTGGTATGACTTTTGAAAATTCTCAAAAGAGGCACAGGAAGGTGGGGGGGGAGCAGCACCTGGGTCGCAGGTGGGAAAGTTGTCAATGGTTCGGCTGGGGACGTAGTTGGGAGGGCAGATGCAGGAGTAGGCTCCCTTTCCATCATTGATGCATGTGCCCACGGCACAAGGGTTCTTGAAGTACGACCCACACACGTCCACTGTTAAGAGGGATGGAGAGCGGTGATAGGGAGTGGTGTAAGGAGGCAAAGAGGGGGAGGAGGGGAAGAGGGGATGGAGAGGAAGGAGGTGGGGGGGAGACATAGTATAGTAGACTCAGAAGTAGGTTTCGTTTTTGTTTTGTTCTTCAGAACCATGAGAAAAGCACAGAAGACACGGTACCGTATCTCATCTCCACTTGTTCTCACTGTAGACACAGATGTTTCCAAAAACTAAAGAACAATACACTCTCTTTAAATGTGTCTCACCATATACACAGATGTTTCCATAGCCGTTTGCAGCCTCAACGAAAGGCTGCTTGGTCTGATCCGGAATGGTGCAGTTGCAGGTGTTGCTGTTGGTCTTGAGGTTGGGCATGCAGGTGAAGCGACCGCACGGGTTCATGCTGGGCTTCAGATCTCCATCGCCCTTGTAGCTCTTCAAGCCGCATGGGTCCTTGGGAACTGGAAGGCACAGAAGAGAGGGAGAGAGGGCAGGAGGAGATAAGGGAAGGATGAACCCCATGAACCTCAGGAAAGCTGACGTGTCAGCTTTCTCATGAACCCCTCAGAAGAGAAAGAGATGGAAGGGAGAACGCAAATAGCTCTTATTCTTGGGAATGGACGTGCTTGCTGACCCTTAAAGAAGCTGTTATCACTGTTCCTTGGGAACTGGATGGCACACAAGATACAGAGGGCAGGAGGAGATAAGGGAAGGATGAATGAACCCCATGGAAAGCTGAAGTTCCATAGAAAGAACCAGGAGCATGCAAATAACTCATAGATATGCTCCATTCTTGGGAATGGAAGCGATTTTTGACCCTTCAAGAATTAGGAACACAAGCTGATATGGTAGTGCCTCACTCTTGACAATGGGGTAGATGCCAGGCAGCACGTTGATGCCACACACACCATCGCCTCCCTGCATGTCCAGACGCATGTGCCCCCTGTCTCCCCACTCCTCGCCCCACGAGTTGCGGATGATCCAAAACGGCGGCGCAATGCGGTTCTCGCTCCCATCATCCCTCAAAACGAAGTACCCAATAACGAGTACAACGTGGTTCAGGTTGCCGGTATAGCAGCCAGGATCCTGGTACTTGAAAGTCTGGAGACAGAAAGGCAAACATGAAAATATTCTGGTTAGATAACATAAATAAGGAAGTGTATATGCACAGCGTATAGGCATTGCCAAGGTGCATATCAAGTAAAAAAAAAACATTAGGAGCACTGGTTGTTCTTTTATAAACAGCAGAACATTGTACGAGTTACATGACATATATTCAGGTTCGCTGTTCCCCACATTACTGGTAGAAATGTAGCGATAAACTGTGCCACATCACTTGTGTCAAGCAGGAAGCGGAAAGGAGCAACCAACCATTTGTAAACAAACAAATGCGACTTGGTTTCACTCACCCCGTCGTATTTGGCGAAGGAGGCAACAGTGGCTTCAATGTGAACCACCACTGGCTGCTTCTGCACTGCCAGCAAAAGCCCCACATACCCCTTGAATGCAGTGCGCTCAAAGCCCTGAACAGGGTATGTGATTTTCTGTAATGCAGAAGAGTTAGTCGTGAGGGTTGGGACAGGAAGTGAATGTGATGTAAAAAGGGCAGAAAAATGAGGTTATTAGATTGGCAAAGAGAGGAGAGATTTGCAAGAGAGTGTCGGGCTATAACGAGTGAGAATGTCACTGGCATTGAGTTATTTTTTATTCCTTTAAGATGACCGCACAACCTGAACAGTGCTCAAAACGCCCTTATTGCCTTCCATACCTTATTGCCGTCCATAGTAATGGCCCCCTTTGGCAGCGCCATTAGTTTCTCAAAGGCATCTGTGGGGGAGCCTCCAGCGTTGCATTTGGCTGTCTGGGTGGTGAGGCCCATGGCTGTGAAGAGTGAATCCACTGACAGCTTTGGCGCCTCTAGGTTTGTCGCGATGCCGTATGCTGCTTCTATGCTCGACACCACTGCGTATGCCCAGCATGCATCTGTAGGAGAGCAGAAGGAAGCGCAGAGAGTAGCTTTAATAGTGGGCAGGGCACAGTGCTGGTGAACAAGAAAGAACAGTGCTGGTGAACAAGAAAGAACAGTGCTGGTGAACAAGAAAGAAAGAATGCAAGAATGCAGAACGAATGCAAGAATGCAGAAAGAATGCAAGAATGCAGAAAGAATGCAAGAATGCAGAAAGAATGCAGAAAGAATGCAAGAATGCAGAAAGAATGCAAGAATGCAGAAAGAATGCAAGAATGCAGAAAGAATGCAAGAATGCAGAACGAATACCCCCCTGTTGGCGTGGCACTCACTGCAATCGCTCAGACTAGCATTACCAGACCCTGAACTCACTGCAGTCGCCCTGGTCCTTGACGGGCCAGCCCAGGAAGGGCACGGAGTCCCAGGAGTGGAGGTCCCTGAAGACCCACGAGTCCTTCTGCCCGGCCGACACTCGGTAGTCCGCGCTCACATAGCGCGGGAAGGGGCTTGCTCGTACCGGCACGTATGTATTCAGTGTTACATTTAATCCGTAGGCTGGAGAATGGGAAACATAAGTGTGTGTGAGCAGTTGGGGAGAGAGTGGCAGTGGCAGATGAGCGACACAAGTTGGGTTTGAGGGAAAGGTGTGAGGGGACGTGACGGGTAGATGTATGGATGCAACTGGTGCTGCCATTGAGAAGGTATGTGTTAGAGCCTAGAAGACAAGAAAGCATGTCAGAACAGTAAGAATGTTAGATTTTTAGAGGTATTAGTGAACTTAGAAAATCACCCACTCGTGGGTGAAGCATGTTTGATTGATTGATTCTGTGTTAACATGAAAGGACTTGCCTGGATTGATGTTGACTGTTGCAGGCGGGGGAGGAGCACCTGTAGGTAGGAAGACAGGCAAGGAGGAAAGAGGAAAAAGAGCAGACCGGTTCTTGGGGCATTGATCGATGCTGGGAGGGTTCACTAGGCCAGGAGGCTAGCGTAACGACTACAAGTGCAAGCAGAATAGCGGGATATATTTAGGAGGGCAGGGCAGAAGCGAGGATGGTATGAATGGTAAGCCATCAAAGGAGTCTGCATGGCATATTTTGGATGACAAGCAGCCTAGCGGGATATATGTGATGTGAGGCACCAAAGGAGCTACCAGCCAGATTCTCACCTGTGCGCAGGTACGAGCTCGTAATGGTGTGAATCATGAACGGCTTGACTGTGGTGGACGCCACAAAGCCAAAGTAGAACGCCCGCGGCTGCTCTGGGACAGCCTGGGGCGGCCCTGGCTTCAGCACCGCACACAGCGACAGCCGGGTCTCTAGCAGCGGCTTTGATGGTTTCACTGCTGTTGTTGCTAGGAACACCCGAACGAATCCGGGGTCCCCAGGCACATAATCCACCCATGCCGTGTACGGCTTCTTGTTGGCCAGTGGGAACGGGGACTTCACAGCTGCGACTGATTTCTCCTGGCCCTGGATATTCACCCCCACGTGCGGGACTTGGATGGTGTCTTGCGGCTTGTTTTGAAGCATGTCAAACTCAACCGCCATGCTTCGGGTGTCCATCCCACCGTAGCCCACGCCAACGTCGCTCCCCACTGTGTTGGTCGCCGAAACGACAAAAGCGAAGCCGTTGGAAACAGCCCTGCCTTTAGGCGAGAGGGCGAAGGTGAAGTTGACACTGAATGCCAGCTCGAACCCACAGCCTGGGTACACACGCCCAGCTTCGTACATGAAGAGAGGCACTGGGTCTGGGTTGAACATTCCTACTGCCTCCTTTTTCGCTCCTGCTGTGAGCACGGTTGATGCAGGGAGAATTTCCCCCTCTACTGGAGAGACAAGGTCCGTTTCTGCAAGGAATTCGTGTGGACGGATGGAAAAACGAAGCCAAGGAGAGGATGAGGAGGAGGAGTATTGGAGAAAGGGCGATATTGAAGGCTGGAAAGGATCAAAGTGATGGCGTGCTGTGCTGTGTGAACTGAAATCAAAACAGAGAAGATTTTCGAGAACAGGGATGCACGTACACTCATCAATCTTGCGCCCCCATCCCAAGCCATTTTCTATTAAACAATGGCCCCGCTTACCATCAACAAGACAGTAGACCCGTCGAAACAAGTTGTACCCTTGCAATGTATCACACAAGCAGGTAGGCACCAAGTTAGGCCCATCGGGGTAACACACCCCATGCCCCGTGCACAGAGGGGCGACAGAACCTATCGAGACGCCACAAAACGCCAAGCATTCTGATTCGGAACGCTGCAGGGGTGTGGTTTCCCCGTCAGCCAGTTTGAAGCAGTTTGCATCCAGCAAGTCTGTCGGCTGTGCAGGCAGAGTGCCCGAGAGGTAGTTGTATGAAAGCATAGCCAGCACGTTAGCTGGCTTCACTATGGGGCCTGTGAGATAGTTGCGAGAGAGGTCGCTGTGGAGGGGGGGGTGAGGGGGAGTGGTGGGGGGAAAGCACAGGGGCGGAGGGCACCTTAGTAAGTTTAGTGCTGCCAATAGCAACAGTATGAGAACGAGAGTGATATACAGTGTGGCTGGCTGGTTCTTGTGGGATTGGGTCCAGAAAGTGAAAAAGGTGTGTCTATTGTGAGAAGAATTTTGAGTCGGCAAAAAATGATCTCCTGTGGGTAGACTCGGTAGGAGCAAGTAGTGCATTCAACGGTGCCCTGTTCTCGCATTCAACGGTGCCCTGTTCTCGCATTCAACGGTGCCCTGTTCTCGCATTCAACATTGCCCTGTTCTCGCATTCAACATTGCCCTGTTCTCGCATTCAACATTGCCCTGTTCTCGCATTCAACATTGCCCTGTTCTCGCATTCAACATTGCCCTGTTCTCACGGTGCGAGAACAAGGCAACACGCCATAGTGACACACGGTAGTGCATTGAACGGTTGACAGTATGCTCTTGTGCAGCAAATGCGGTAGATAAATGCGGAAGTTGCTTCGTGACAGTGATGCAGCAAATCATTCAAACGAGAGCACACTGATTTGAAAAGAAGGAAGGAAGAAAAAGTGTGTGAGTGGGATTCCTTGCAGGCAATTCGAAAAGAGACTTACAAAGTCTTGAGGTTTGTGAGCAAGGTGACTGCTTCTGGTATGCTTCCATACAGCAGGTTGTTGGGAAGAGACCTGTGAGCCATCACGTGAAGGCATGGTGGAGGGATGGTGGAGGGATGGTGGAGGGATGGTGGAGGGATGGTGGAGGGATGGTGGAGGGATGGTGAAGGGATGGTGAAGGGATGGTGGAGGGATGGTGGAGGGATGGTGGAGGGATGGTGGAGGGATGGTGGAGGGATGGTGGAGGGATGGTGGAGGGATGGTGGAGGGATGGTGGAGGGATGGTGGAGGGATGGTGGAGGGATGGTGGAGGGATGGTGGAGGGATGTGGGAGGGATGGTGGAGGGATGGCGGAGGGATGGCGGAGGGATGGTGGAGGGATGGTGGAGGGATGGTGGAGGGATGGTGGAGGGATGGTGGAGGGATGGTGGAGGGATGGTGGAGGGATGTGGGAGGGATGGCGGAGGGATGGCGGAGGGATGGCGGAGGGATGGTGGAGGGATGGTGGAGGGATGGCGGAGGGATGGCGGAGGGATGGCGGAGGGATGGTGGAGGGATGGTGGAGGGATGGTGGAGGGATGGTGGAGGGATGGTGGAGGGATGGTGGAGGGATGGTGGAGGGATGGCGGAGGGATGGCGGAGGGATGGCGGAGGGATGGTGGAGGGATGGTGGAGGGATGGTGGAGGGATGGTGGAGGGATGGTGGAGGGATGGTGGAGGGATGGTGGAGGGATGGTGGAGGGATGGTGGAGGGATGGTGGAGGGATGGTGGAGGGATGGTGGAGGGATGGTGGAGGGATGGTGGAGGGATGGTGGAGGGATGGTGGAGGGATGGTGGAGGGATGGTGGAGGGATGGTAAAGGTATTGCGAAGAGACATGATGGTGAATGAAATATGATATGCATGTCTGCACTGCATGCACAGTGGGGGAGGAGAAAGCATTAGAGGTAGGATAGAGAAACGGAGAGGAGAGGAGAGGAGAGGAGAGGAGGGGTGAAGAGAGGAGAGGAGAGGAGAGGAGAGAAGAAGAGGGGAGCGGAGAGGAGGGGAAAGGAGAGGCGAAGAGAGGCGAGGAGAGGAGAGAGAAGCAGAGGAGAGCAGAGGAGTGGAGAGGAAAGGGGTGGAGGTTCAGGAGCATTGCAATGGTTCCCCATGTTGAAGATGAAAGACCTCTTGATGGTTCCCCATGTTCAGGAGGCATTGCTAAAGACATGTTCCAATGGTGCTAGACTGCATTGCAAACAATAGTGGTTTTTGTGCTGAGGGTTGTTGTGACTGTTAAGAAAATCGTGGGTTGATTAATTCAGTACCGACCCACTGTTGTTACATCTACTAGCGATGCACACGGATCAATCGCCACTCACAAGTGCACAAGATTGGTAAGGCTGCCAATGACAGTCGGAATGAAGCCAGTGAGCTTGTTCCTGTCAAGCCACCTGCATATTGACAGATTCAGATTGACAGAAATGGTCACAAACTGTACTGACACAGCATCAACCACTCATCAGTGTACAGTCTGACTGTGCATCATCCCCCCTCTCAATTATAACGAGAAAGCTTGTGTAAGAACATGAAGATCCGCCTTACAGTTCCTGGAGACTCTTCAGAGGGGTGATGGTAGCTGGGAGGAGAGGCCCACTGAGGTCGTTCATCCTTAGATCTCTGTGTGGACAGAGAGCGGAGCAGAAGGATGGAACACACAAGGAGAGAAGGAGGATTAGAGAGGAGAGCACACAGACGGTTGGGACAGAAGGAGATCAGAAAGGTCGATGGATTGCAAACAAGGCAGCGCACATGCAGCAGCAGAGGACTGTAGGGTAATTTTGAGGCACCTAAAAAAAAGAGGTGTATGGGTAGTTGTACGTCAGAAGTCCATGCTTTGACTCCCAGCTTATGGAAAAAACCGGAGAGGAGGGCTGGCAAGCGAGAATACAAGTGATGCAGTAGCACAAGGAGCGTAGCACAACAATCTAGTGGAAAGTTGTGACATGCTATACGTGGTAAGGAACCGTTATGGATTAGTTAGCTCTATAGACCACACTGGTGTGACAGGGCGAGAGGGGAACAACTTGAGAAGCAAGCCGCACAGTCAACGAGCGGCTTACAGGAAAACGAGATTGGACAACCAGCTGAGTTTCGAAGGGATGGAGTCGGAGAGCGCATTAAAGCCCAAGTTCCTATAGGCCAGAGGGGCACAGAGAAGGAGGGGTGGATAAGCGTGGGGTTTGATCATGCATCAAAGGATTTCTTCTGATAACCTTGCAGCATGCGAATCAGTTAAAACACAGTTTGCGGAGATAAATGACCAGATGAAAGAGCGAAAAGAGGAGCTGTGGTTGCAGTGAAATGGACAGCGGCAGTGATGGCAGCATTAGTGGTAGTAGTAGCAGCATCAGCAATGTTAGCAGCAGAATCAGTAGGTCAGCAGCAACAGTAGGAGCAGCACCTGCAGCAGCAGCATCAGTGACATTAGCAGGACATTCAGTAATGAGGCAGCAACGGTTGGAGCAGCTGCAAAGCATGTGATAGCAGCAGCATTGCAGTGAGGGAGTGCAGGGAAGAATGGGTAATATAAGGGTATTTTGTGCTAGAGATTTTCACGCTAGCGAAGCAAACATGCAGCGGGCATAGGATGGGTGATGCAAAGATGGAATGGTAGCAGGCACATGGATGGATGGGTGCTCGTGTCGACACTCACAGTGAGACCAGACGGTCCAAGAAGCCAAGCTTTGAAGGGATGGGCCCAGAGAGCTGGTTGCGGGACAGGTCCCTGTAGTGGAGTGGAGATAAGGGGTTTTGGGGGTACAGATGGATGAACAGAGTGAAGGGTAGATTGATGACAAGTCCCTGGAGAGGATGCCCATAAGGGGTTTTGGTAGTACGGATGGATGAATAGATTGATGGATAGATTGAAGACGGGTCTACTACCCATTATCTAACTGATGCGATGAAAAGTGGTTTGAGGGGGTGGATGGATGAAGGGAATGACGGGTAGGTTGATGATGAATTGATAGGATGGGATGGCAACAAACTGAGCTAATTGATTGATTGATTGATTGACTAATGGGGCGAATGCTCATCTGCTTTGCTTGCTCTCTGCTCATCTGCTTTGCTCTGTAGCAGTAATCATTAATCCCAGGTTTGGAAGCAGTGGGGGACACTTGTAAGCACACACCAACAAGTCATACACTAGGACTTACAGGGTTTGCAGGTTTGAGAGAGAGGTGATAGCCGTGGGGATTGAGCCATTGATTTGGCTGTTAACTATAGACCTGTGTTGATGCACAGATACGAAGAGAGCATTTGATAGGTCAATCCAGGTCAGAGAACTGAAGCATGCAAGAGACATGACAGTACATAGCAGGAAACAAGAAACGAGTGTGCGAGCAAGAGGAGATGCAGGTAATGCATATAGCACATGAAATGACTAGGAAAAGACCATACAGTTCTTTCAGTGATGTCAAGGAGTAGATCACAGTAGGGATAGGGCCAGTGAACCCCATGTTGTCAAGACGCCTGCGATTCGTAGTGGGAACAGCATAGATGGAGAGACCATATCAAAAGGAGAGGGATGCATAAGGAAAAAGAAAGTTTAGAATAGAAATGAGCGTTCGGGTTGAGGAAATATTGCCTAAAAACTTTCACTTGGTTAGCGAGAATTACAAATGCGGATTCTGTTCAAAACATCTCGGAGTCGAGTAAAACTTGACTCAGTATTTGCTCATGTTTAATTCAGAGGATAGCACAGCAGCAATGCAGTACACGCCTCTCATTTCTCGTTGCACCTGTCCCTCTCATTTCTCGTTGCACCTGTCCTTCCACCACCATCCACAACAGAAATCTTTCTTTCGAGCAAAGTAACTCACAGTTTTTGCAGTTTACTAAGATCTGTCAAGCTAGCAGGGACACTGCCTGAGAACTTGTTGGATGAAAGATCACTGGGACAAGATGAAACGTGCAAAGGGGTGGCACTTGCGAGATGAAGCTGATAAGATGGATTGCACCGGAAAAACAAAATAAATAAAGTAGACCATAAAAAAGGAGGAGTTAATTGAGAAGAAATGCAAAAGGGGGGATCACTACCATGGTAGTTATCACAAAAACAGCACGTATTCGTGTTTACACACACGTTGATTCAAATAACTGAATACTTACTGAAAATAAAACAGCACAACAACCAATGCGCATTAGTTTAAGTGAAGATTCCTTACAGGGCAAACAGTCTCTTTTGGGAACCAATTTCAGAGGGGATAGGGCCAGAGAACTGGTTATAGCTTAAAGACCTGTAACGATTAACGTGAAGGAAGGAGAAATATGAAGGAAGGGGAGTTAAAAAAAACATGAGCGAAGCTGGAAGAGCAAATTGCAGAGAAGAGCAGGCAGCTGTATAGTTCCTGTCTTAATGCTGCGATCATTATGAGATAATGAAGCATGACGACAGCATTATGTCCAACTCATGTCATATCGAAGGACGCCTTACTTGGGTGGTACGTGTGCTAGAAATAGCAAGCACGGGATAAAAAGAGGTAGCACGAGCATAGCTTGCTTGCAGTGTGACTTCAATCTATAGCATGGGCCATGAGTGCTGGTTCAAATTGTAAGCCACTGGTTGGTGCAAAGCATCTCACTCATCTCACACACTCTTCTCTCAAATCCTCTCACTACAAGTATCCACTGTGTGACGTGCAAACAAGGCAGGATAACACTAAAAAGGTCTCACAGGAATGTCAGATCCATATTGCCAATGCCAGAAGGGATTGAGCCAGTGAGAAGGTTCTTTTGGAGACGCCTGTAGCAAGAAATAATCGTGCAGACACAAGTAGGGAACACACACACAAAGAAGCAGACACAAAAGCAGGGATTTCAGAGAAAGTTGAAAGCTAGCCGTACGACCTAATCGTACAGGGATATGGTTGACTGTGATACAACTTGTAACTTATGGATTCACAAATCAGTAATCTGAACTGCAGTGAACTCCGGAGGACATGTATTGCTTGAATACAATCAAACTTCGGGTGTATATTTTGGCGGTCCGCATTGCTTTAAACTGGTCAGGGTGGTTTCATCTTGTATTTGGCTTGGTTAGGATGCTGGTGTTCGGTCTTGCATTCCTCTCTTCAGCACCGAATAACAAGGCGTCAAATGCATTCGTCAGGAACCAGGAACTTAATATACTCACAAGGTTTGCAAATTGTAGAGGCTGCTGAAGCCGTCAGGAAAGCTGCCTGAAAACTGGTTCGATGAAAGGTCACTGAAATAGACGGACAGACATGGAAAGGGCAGTAGCTGAAGTTGTAGAGAATGGTGAATCGAACCACAGGCTAATAAAGAAGCAAGGGTCAATGGACAGGACCAAATAATGGAGAATGGTCAATGCATCAGAAGAGCAGAAGGGGAAAGGGCGGAACGGAGATAGAGAGGCAGGCGAGCCTGGGTGCAGTGAAGTAATCTTGCTTACAGTCGAGTGAGTTTTGTGAGCGAGCTAAATCCATCGGGAATGGGTCCAGTGAACTGGTTTCCACCAAGGTTTCTGGGGTCGTTAGAGAGGCATAATGATAATAAGGTTGATTAATGATCGCATGGAAAAGAACAAACATGGGACGAGTACTAGTGAGAGGAGTGACCACGCTGGTGATATCTTGGTTATGAAGAGAAGATAATAGGAGTACAAACGGGTAGTGGAATACAAACAGAAGGAATAAGATAAGCATAATACGACTAAAAATATGAGCATGGGGCGATGGAGAGATCAACAATCTAGAAGAGCAGACCAGGGCCTATGCCCTTAAAGCTTTAGAAATTCAAGGAAAAATGTGAAGAGAACCGAAGACACTCAAATGAACCACTCTGGTGAAGTAAGCATCCAAGACTTACAGGTCTTCCAGGTATCCGGACAGGCTGATGTCTGAAGGGATTGTGATGTGACTCTGAACTGATTCTTATTGAGTTTTGAGACGTCTCAAAAGTGGCTTACAGGTCTTCCAGGTATCCGGACAGGCTGATGTCTGAAGGGATTGTGCCACTGAACTGATTGTTATTGAGAGTTCTGTACAGTGGATATGAGGGAAGGTTTTGACAGACCAAGCATGAGAGAAGGAGGTTACTTAGAAGTATTTTAAGCAACTTGTAAAATGGCATGTTAAATTTCTAAGCACATGCATGATGCTAGAGTCATTGCCTTGTCAGGGAAGTGTGCGAGGCCAAAGGTCAGTCCAACGTCTACGATAGGGCATGGACACGTTCTAAGGTAAGAAATCTGTGGAAACAGGACGTCTTTGCCCCTTCAAAAAAACGGGAGGTAGGAAAGAAGAATGTGTGTCACAGCAGCATGTTCGATTGGAAAGCAAAAAAGTGAGGCAGGGGAGGAGACCAGACAAAACAGAGAGTCAACAAATAGAGGGGCAATAGATGCAAGAACAGAAATACTTGTGAGAGCAACAGAGAGAAGAAATGGGAATAAGAGGGATGGTATGGAGAAGGGACGAGGTGAAGGGAGAGTGGTACAAACATACAGCCATGTCAAGAAGGTAAGGGATTTCAAGACTGTAGGAAAGGAGCCACTGAACGCATTGTTTCCTAGATATCTGTGGGAAGGCAAGTGCAAGCGCCGCAAAAGGATGGTCAACAGAACAAAATGAGGGAGCTGGTTTTGAGAAGACGCAAAACAAAGTGGACAGTACTGAGGTTGGCGAATGAGATGGAGAGAAACGGAGAGATGAAACAAACAAACATGCGCGGCCTTATTTTACTGCAAATGCTTAGAATTAAGATGGATGCAGCAATCACGATACACATGCAAGCATCAATCCACACCCCTGGTGTATCTTTCACATTCCAGCTCTCTAGGCACAACACATTGATCTTGCCCATTCTTCCTGTCCAGTCTCACAAGTATCCCAGCCAAGCTATACTGCTGAAGCTGTCGGGGATGCTGCCTGAGAACTGGTTGGATGAAAGATCACTGGATCAAAATTACATCGGAAGGGATAGAAGTTGAGTTTGCATCTTCTAACCCGGTGAAGAGAGTTAGTGGGTTTGAATGTAGAAGGAACTAGCAAGAAGGTGAAAATCCAGTGACAAAGAGTTGAAGACACACATAACACACATCCACTATATGTGGTGTGGGGCCAGCAGGGAAAAAACGAATCAACTAAGGCTGGCATTTCTACTAACAGAGAGAAATGGAGAAGATCAACGCAGATGTCTTACATGGAATATAGGGCAGAAATAGTTCCAATAGCTTCAAGTGAGCCGTTTAGCTGATTGTAAGAAACATTTCTGAGATGATGAGCACATGACAGCCATAAGAGAGTAGAAGAGAGAGGAACAGTCAGAAAAAAGCAACACAACCTCAGAAAGAGCTATTCTTGCTACAATATCATCAATCCAGACAGCAGCACAATGTACATTGCCTTGCTCTGGGATGTTTTTAGAACACAGGTCATGGGAGAAATGTGGAGGGATGATTTCTGAAACGGACTACATGTAAAGCAGAAATCTGCTCTACTGTAATCACGAAATCATGAAATACATGCAGCAATCACAAAATACACGCACGTACGTTTCACATTCCAGTTGCATCCACATTCCAGTCATATACTTCACAATCCAAATGTTATCCTCAACGCAACACACGTCAATGTTGTCATTCCTTGTGTCCATACTCACAAATTTCCCAGTTCTTGTAAATCACTGAAGGTAGCTGGGATGCTGCCAGTGAACTGATTGGATGAAAGATCACTGAAACAGGATGGAAAGTGGGAGCGAAGGCAGTTGAGATTGCAGTTTCCAGATAGCATAGCAAAATGTGAAGAAGCTTAGGGTGGTTGAAATGAGTGTATGGTTGAGCACGATAACCAACTTATGTTTGGTTCGGCTCGAACCTATTCAGGTTTGCACTGAACGATTAATTCTAGTCCAGCTTGACTTTTTTTGTTGAGCCACGTCAAACTTCGAACCAAGGGCTAATTCAGTTCGGTTTGACTTGAACCGAATTGGTTCGCATCGATCCGGTTCGAGTTCGGTTCTTGTTCATGCTAGCTAGATGTACAAGAAACACATTGAGATGACAAAGGCAGAAAGGGAGGTCCTCTTCTGGCCCTTGACAAGAGCTAAGGACATAGAGAAGGCACATCATGAGATAAAGTAGCAAACAGGGGACAAAACATATTTGCTAGAGCTTCCCTCCCAAATGCTCCTTAGTCCCTTGTTCGCTAAAAGATAGACCATAGAGCGTGAACCATGTTGTTTCCATGACTTGTGGCGTCTGGAATCCGAAAGCCCAGCTGGGGACTGGTGCCCCTGGCTCGAAATACAATACTAGTGGAGAAACCTGGTCCCTTCACCTTCCCTTATCCTACAGGGTCGCCCTAAACGTTTTGTCCACTCCACATACAAGGCATGGCTGCATGGCATGCTACCTCACATCATCCATTTGACATCTCTACAAAGAGAATGAGAATTGTGGCAGTGAACTGAACATGCGATAAGAACAAAGAGGGTCAGGCAAAGGAGACTGTGGGTTGCATAGCGAAAATGGAGACAGGAGGAAAGGAGGGGCGGAGACTGGAGAGAAGAGAAAGAAAGAGGTCTTACATGGAATATAAATTACTAACACCAATAGTGGCAACTACGTCGAGTGGTCCACTGAGCTGATTATAGGAGACATTTCTGAGTTAATGAGCACATGACAGTCACAAGAGAGTAAAAGGAGAGACACAAACACACTGGTTGGTGAATGCTATACTATTTAAAGATGACAGATTATAGATAATAGGTTACTGGTTGGTGAATGCATCACGATGACATTGCGCCCTTCACACATTGCATCCAGCAGCATTGAAGAATGGAGGATAAAACGAGTAGAGATGCGGAAGGAGGAACAAGCGGAGAGGATTGGGGAGGAAAAAGAATGGGGAAGGCTGAGGTAACTTGTGTGCAAAGGAAAGGAAAGAAGGTGGGCAAAGGACACAATGTGACAGCTGCAGCCTGCTGCATGCATGCATGCCCGAACTCAACATGCGGCGGCCATGGATGGATACCCAAGTCACCATGTTTCATGCATGCATGCATGCACGCCAAACACACATAATTCTCGCACTCAAGTTGCACTCACACATTACAGACAGCTCCACCCAAAACACATCAACCTTGCCATTCCTTCCTTCGGTCCAATTAAGTCTCACAGTTTTCCCATTCTAGTTAGATCACTGAAGCTAGCAGGGATGCTGCCTGTGAGCTGGTTGCACGAAACATCACTGGCAGGGTTGGTGGTATCACGAATGCAATGCAAGCAAGAGCGGAAATGATGGCATTGAAAGGCTGATGCTACACTGCACAAGATGGACTGGAGCCACTGAAGGCCTTTGAACACATAGAGAGGCATCAGAGCACCATAGAAGCTCCACACCACACAAAGGCACACCATAGGCCCACACCGCAGGCTCACGCCATACGCCCCACCATAGGAACAACATAGGAGGAGTAATGTGAGAGTACTGCAGGAGCATTGCAGCACAAGAGACCACATAATAAGTTCACGAATATTAATAAAAAGGTTGCTAATGATGACTATTTTTGAAAGGCGTGAATTAAAATGTTCGTGGATTAGAGAACCTTGTGGCAAGAGAGCAAAAGGATGAATGGTGGATAGGAAGAGAGGTCACATAGGTAGAGCATAGCACAGGAAATCAGAGCTCTTACATATCTCTCAAGGATGGCATAAGGCTGAGTTCAGCCGGGATAGATCCAGTGAGGTTGTTGCTGCGAAGTGGCCTGCACAATATGGTGACCATGCAATGATAGTGATCATGCAATGGACGTAGGCAGAATGTCACGGATTAGAGATTGAGAATGTCTTTTAGAAAGACAAAGACAGGAAAAGATGGGGGTATGAGAAGCGAGAAGAGGGGTGCTGATTGTTTGGAACAAAGGCATCAAAGTTTGCTTTTCTTTAATGAAAGAGTGGCGCTTACATATAAATATGAGAGAAGGCAAATGAACAAGAAACAGGAAGTTGGTACATGAGGAGGAGATGGAGGAGGAGGAGGAGGAGGAGGAGGAGGAGGAGGAGGAGGAGGAGGAGGAGGAGGAGGAGGAGGAGGAGGAGAGGAGGAGGAAGAGGGGGAGGAGGAGGGGGAGGAGACAAAGAGGGTTTAGTACTACAAGCAGGCAGTGAAAAATACAGGCAAGAAAAGGGCCGCATCTCACAGAAAGTTCAGTTGAGTGAGAGCACTGATTCCTGCTGGGATGGTTCCTGAAAGCTGGTTGTATGACAAGTCACTGCAATGGCACGAACCATGCATTGCAAAGAGGAAGAAACTCTGATTGAACTAGTCAGAACTGCACGGTGCTATATTCAACCAAAAGGGTCAAGAGATGATAAGATGATGGCATTATAAGTATATAGAATGCACCAAGCAGAGCCGCCTGAATGAGAAGCAGGGGACAAATAACTTTCCTATGCTCACATCACATCTATGGATGCAGCGAAAACCGAGGTTGGTGCTTGAATTGATAGGGTGGAGAAGCTTGTTATTACACTAGGAGTAGGTAGGAGGAGGTGGTTGAGAAAGAGTGAGGCCTTACCCTCTTCAATCCAGAACATTACTGTCTTTGAGGGTTAAGGGTACAGAGAAGAGGAGGAGGAGGAGGAGGAGGAGGAGGGAGGAGGGAGGAGGAGGAGGAGGAGGAGGAGGAGGAGGAGGAGGAGGAGGAGGAGGAGGAGGAGGAGGAGGAGGAGGGGGAGGAGGAGGAGGAGGAGGAGGAGGAGGAGGAGGAGGAGGAGGAGGAGGAGGAGGAGGAGGAGGAAGAGGAGGAGGAGGGGGGGGGGGGGGAAGGGGAAGGGGAGGAGGGGGAGAAGGAGGGGGAGGAGGCGGAGGTTGCGACAAAAAGAGAGAAGGTTACCCTCTGGAGGACACACAAGAGGAGGAAAACATACAGAGCATCCAAGAGAGGAGAAGGCGTTTCTTATAGGCTGTACAGCTGCTTCAGGGTACTGAGTCCATCAGGGATGCTGCCTGTAAGCTTGTTGAATGACAGGTCACTGTGATGGTTTTGAACATGCAAGGGAGTCAAACAGATACAGAAGCAACAAAAAATATATACTAGTCAAGGTAATTATTTAGTGACTTGCAAAAGTGGTTCTGATGATCATCGTGAGTACATAGAAAGTACCAAGAGGGGCATAGGGCAATGCTGACTTGACAAGCAGGAGGGGCCAGAGGAATTTTGTTTAGGAAGGTTGCCGTTATGTTGAATTGATCTGCATGGTGTCCTACGCACATCACCCCACATTGCTACATCTGAACAAAGAATACATGAACATGAAGTGAAATCAGACTCAAGGGAGGTGGAAAGCGTGGTGTGTTTGAAAGGGTAAATAAGCGTGGCGTTTAACTAGCAGGAGACAGATTGGAAGGGAGAGAAATTGGTACGGAATCAGGATAACTTACAGTCCCATAAGTTTTGTAAGAGAGCTTAACCCTAAAGAGATAGAGCCTGTGAGCTGATTGCTACCAAGATGCCTGAGATAATGAGCACGGGATGTGGGTTGAGTGAGGGGTGGAGGCAGCAACAGATGAGAGATTCAGGCGTGCGCTCCGCACATATGGTGAGGTCACCAGCAGAGCAAAGAGAGTTAGAGAATGACCGGTATTATGAATAATGAGTGACAAGCAGCAAAAGTGGTGGAATAGAGGTTAGAGAACAGGGATTTCAGGCAGGTATTATATGCCCATATAAAAAGGTAAGAGAACGCAAGAACTTACAGGTTATTGAGGTTTGTAAGAGAGAACAAGGCTTCTGGAATTGAGCCGCTGAAGTTATTTCGACCAAGTACCCTGATATGATGAGCACAAGATGTGAATGAGGGATTGAATAAGCATTGTTTGTCATGCGTTAACAATAAATAGCCCAAAATTTCAAGGAGGTGGGAGAGGAGAGGAGTGGTTAGAGAAGAAGAGAGGATGGATGCGAATGAGAGAGGAATTTTGTTGTGCTGTGGGGGGAGCAAGCAATGGCGTCAAAGGGAACACATCATATGCCGAAGCAGGAAAAGGCAGGAGATGCGGCCATATTTGACCCTCCTTCTCAAAGATAAACTGCCACCGCCAGCAGCATGAGGCTGTGACAGGCGGCAGCACATGCTAGAATAGAATCAGCTTGCAGCAGAACACATGCATGCAGGCAGTTTCACCCCGTACCAGCAATCACCCCGTACCAGCAATCACCCCGTACCAGCAATCACCCCGTACCAGCAATAACCCCGTACCAGCAATCACCCCTTACCAGAAATCACCCCTTACCAGCAATCACCCCTTACCAGCAATCACCCCTTACCAGCCAAAGAGTTTATGAGGGTGACGCAGTGACTGACACTCTTGGCCCCTGCTCTCTTTAGAGCCCATACCTCAGCAACTAGAGAGCATTACTGCAGCACACTAGAGCCTCCCCTTCGCCCCTAATCTTTGCAGTGTCTCTCAGTGGCACACTTGGAGTTTCCAGCACCTGGACTGGAGAGCAGTACTGTCTGTGCTTCTGTGCTTCTGAGCAGTACACTCGGAGCCTCCTGAGCTCCTGGGCTTCATGCTTACTTTACCGGCCAACTGCCTCCACAATCAAGGCCGTCAGCACTCGCATGAAGAGGCTAGTGGGTTGCGGTTGCGGGTTCCCACATAAGCTTACCAAGTCCTCTCCTCTGCCTAGTCCGCAGGTCCCAACAAGAAGGGGGTCCAGTCCAGGGTCCTTACCTGTGAGATTCTCCCGTACGGTCGACGACATCTGATCCGAGTGCTCATGAGGTCAGTGAGAAGTACGGAAAGGACGTGGGTGGGTGCCATGAATGATGCTTCCACAACACAACACGCCCTTCTGCTGCTCTCTTGCAGTGCAAGCCACTGGATGATGTTTCCCTTGCATTCAGACCCTGCTGATTCAAGGATACCTGGATTACCAGCGTCACTGTTACAGACCCGGTCCTCTGAAACAATCGGGGGCCCCGATGCCTGCACGCCTTCTTGCAGGGCGCCCCCATCAGGTTGATGGTGGAAGGAGATGGGAGAACTGGGGGAAAAATCTATCAGCACTGGAACATCGAGGCTGTGGGGGGTTCTTTACATATGGGGCACACCTGCACGGTCAACACACGCACGACACAGCGTGACGTGACCATTTTGAGAGTCCATGCACTAGAAATTAGAGGAGTAGACAGGACTTACAGGGCTTGAAGGTTTTTAAGGTTGCCGAAGGTGTCTGGGAATGAGCCGGAGAGTAAATTGTTGTATACGTTGCTGTGAAACATAACCATGAATAAAAACAGGGATAAAGATGTGGTTGGTATAAACTGGTCAGGGGGTCGTTGGAACCAGCATGAGTGAACAACTACTGAGCAGAGTGGGGAGGAATCTAGCCCTTGGTGTCGGTCGGTTGACAAGGGATCCATTTTACTGCCATATTAGCACTGTTCGGAAAGCGTCACAAGAACAATCACACGCAGTACAAGGAAACCTGGAAAGAGGAGAACTGTAGAGAGGATGGACAATGAGTCATGCATGAAGGAAACGAGTGAGTCGACAAAAAAATGCAATGACAACAGACAATAAGTCATACAAGCCTGAAGTGACTGCATAAGACAGGTGAGGGGAATTGGTTAGGAGAGGGAGCAAAATGTAGGAGATCAGAACAAAGCATTTGTCTTACAGGTTAGTCAGGGCAGTAAGCGAGCTATACGAGTTGGGAATCGGTCCAGTGAGCTTATTTTTAAACAGGGTCCTGTAAAGAAATTTTGAATCAGTGATGCATTCAATGGTATAAGGTAAGGGGAGAGGGAAATAAAGTGAAAGGAAGAAATACCGTACAAAGTTGGGACAAGAGAGGTCAACAGAGTGAGAGCAAAACACAGAAAGAAAAGAAAAGTGGGAGCGAAACACAGAAAGAACTACATAAGATCACAGAAAAGGGAGAGACGAGCGTCTGATATGAACAGAGCATGGGCAAGGAGATGGGAGGTGACGCGTTATGAGGAAGAGAGGAAGACAATAGGATTGACATTTATTATATTTGGACTGCAAAGAAGGAGGTCCATGATGATCCATGTAGTCACTAGCAGGGGGAAGGGCTTGGGACACAGATACATTACAAGCGCACAAGAGAGCGGGTACACGGCATTTTAGGGTGACAAGTGGGCATAACAAACAAGGGACTTACATGGTTTTTAGGTTTGTAAGGGAACCAAGCTCAAAGGAGAGAGATCCAGAGAATTGGTTGTAATGCAAATTCCTATGATATGATGTACAACCCGAAACAAGAATTTCAACAAACCAAGGCAGGGAGATAAACCACACATGAAGAGAAAGCTGGAAATTCGACAGCTGGCAACTCAGGCGTTTCAGATTTATCGGAGGTCCATCAGAGACGATCTGAAAAAAGATATGCCTGAGATAGCTAAATCTCTGTTGTTGCTGGCCAGAAACGAATCTTAGAGCAGGTAAGCGTGACTAACTGATTTAACAAAATTGTACCAGGTTCATGGTCACCAGAATTGTGTGAATGAATACACCACCCTTTCACATATTGAAAGGAGGTTACTTAAGCTGTGTGCATTAAGTACTGTGAACTTCAAATGGCGTGAGGTACGAATGGTGAAGTGGAGATAATGGGGTACAAGGAAAAGAAAAGAGAGGAGAACCACTGGAGCGAGCAGGAGTGGCAAGCATTGAGAAGGATAAAAAACGGGGAGCAAGGGAGCCGAGCCCGAGCAAAGAGCAGAGGCCTTACAGAATCCACAGCAGAGGCCTTACAGAGTTATCAGCTTTTTCAGGCTGCCGTATTGGGCAGGGATCGACCCAGTTAACTGATTGAGATCAACTCTTCTGTAATGGTAGAAGAAACCATGAAGTGTGAATGGATGAAGGCAGTGAAGGTACGGGTAGTACTCATAAGGAAAGGGGAAATATAACAACCAACAAAAGCAACCATGGCTATGTGAATGTGGATTGAAGGCAAATGGAGAGTGGCAAGGCAAGAGCGGAACAGCGGAATTTGAAGGCAAGGAGAAGAGGAGAAGAGAAGAAGAGGAGAAGAGGGGAAGAGGAGACGAGGAGAAGAGGAGAGGAGGAGAAGAGGGGAAGAGGGGGGAGAGGGACGGATGTAGAAGTGCACACAAAAGCAGAATGGCTTACAGGAGTGTCAAGTCTGAAAGAAAACCAATGGTATGAGGTAAGGTGCCCGTGAACTGGTTGATATGTAGAGCTCTGACATAAATGCGATTGGTTCATGTATCGGTTGGATATGTGTGTTAGGACACGGGCAGGGGTGTGGTAGGTACAAAAATGGAGAAAGAACATTGTTGAGTAGAAATAACAGAACGAATGAGGTGGAAGGGAGGGAGAAGAGATTAGAGGATTCAGAGTGCACAAAGAAAGTGCAAGGAGCAGGAGGGGAATGGAGAGAGGAGGAGAGGATGAAAGAGGATAGGATGGAGGATTTGGAAGCCAAACAGAATGGGGAGCAACGAGAGAAGACACTACACCACTTCAAGAACATGTTCCTGTTGTAACAGAATCTACATTACAGTCAACATGCCTCATATCATTTATCATTGAGCAAGTGACAGACTCGACAAATCCATAATGCAACCAGTGTAGATGAAAGACAGCACAAGAGCGCACAAGCCTTGTTACAGGCCTGGCCAGGAAGCAGGGTGAAACTGAAAGGAGGAAGAGAATGACATGACAAGGACCGTGGCCTATACTAGTAAAGTAAACTTACTTATGATTGATTGACGACGCCCAACGAGCCTCGTTAAGTTTCCACATGGCATCCACAGCACGTCACATAACAAGGCAGCTCACATGGATTGCAGTTTAAGGAGCGACGTGAAAGTATTAGGGAGGCTGCCTGTGAGCCGGTTGTATGAGAGGTCACTGAGAAACATTGGGAGAAACGTGACATGGTGTGGAAACACAGAGAGAGAGAGAGAGAGAGAGAGAGAGAGAGAGAGAGAGAGAGAGAGAGAGAGAGAGAGAGAGAGAGAGAGAGAGAGAGAGAGAGAGGATTAGCCTCTCCCCTTCTACCCTCTGCCCTCTGCTTTCTGCCCTCTGCCATGACTACTTAAGGCCACGGCGGCCTCTCCATCTCTCATTCTTTCAGTTAGTGCTGAAAATTTTGGTGTTGTTCGAGAGAGCGAGAGAGAGAGAGGATTAGCCTCTCCCCTTCTACCCTCTGCCCTCTGCTTTCTGCCCTCTGCCATGACTACTTAAGGCCATGGCGGCCTCTCCATCTCTCATTCTTTCAGTTAGTGCTGAAAACTTTGGCGCTTCGCGCCGGCGGCCTTCGGCCGCCGGCGCTCGCGTGCGCGGCCTTCGGCCGCGCGTTAGGGATGGCAAGGGGAAACAACAAGCAGTAGTAGCTTAGGCAACCGATACAAACAAAGCAAGCATAGACACTTAGCAAGTAGAGGATGGAACGGGTCTATACGCGCAAGGGGGGAGCGCCTACATGCGGTCCGCCTCTACCGCAGCGAGCATTCCGCTCGTGTTCAACCACAACTGGCGGACCACAGACACGGTGGCGCCTACAACGTCAACAGGAGTACCAGGGCCTGCTACAAGCGTCCTCAGAGCCAGGGCCGAGTCAGCCAGCTGGCTGGCCGAGGTTGCTCCCGGCGAGGGCGCTACCTGCAGTGGCGTTACGAGCGCGAATAGCGCTGACGCCGCCGCATGACAATCTGCTCGCGGTTTCTGAGAGAACCTGCTCGGAGGGCTCACCGGCATGGAGTCAAATGACTCCTGGAGAATCCGCTCAAGGCTCTGCAGGGACGCCGCCAGCGACCATAGGCGGGCCAGGGTCGCCGTGGGAACTTCCTTCATCGGCGGAAGTAACGCAGACGCGCGGGCACGGTGAGACGACACGGCGAGATCACGCGGAGCAGGAAGAGGATGCGGCGGAGCAAACTGAGCCCACGGCGGCCCGCCACCAGCACCTACGAAGCCCATCCCCGCAGGCAGCGGCCGCTCTGAACGCGCCGGGGATCCAAAGGGATTGTGGGGCAGGAGCGCGGAGAGAGGGACGACGGGAGCAGCGCGAGGAGCTGATGGTGACGCCGACCCCGCACGCGAGCGATGAAGCTCCTTCTCCACGTCATCAAGCCTATCCAGAAGACGGCGCTCCATTGCGGACGGCGCTGGACGCGCTTTTCCGCCGCGAATGTCACCCCCCCGTCGCCCACGACGCGCACGCCCACTTGCGCTCGAGCGCACAGGCGACTGCGGGCGAGATGGGCCCTGCTGACGCTGGCGGCCAGGAAAACGGTCCCCGCGACGAGGGGAGTAGAGCCGTTGGCGCTTTGCAGGAGGGGGCGAACGCGGAGCTGGGGGCCGACGCCCAGACGTCTGGCGGGCAGGCGACCGCTGGCGAGATGAACGGTGAGGGGGCGAACGATGACGATGCGAACGGCGGTCACGGGATCGGCTTCGCGACGCCACGCGACGAGGCGAACGAGGCGACAGCGGCGAACGGGCCGCACCGTGACGATCATCGCGGCGGCTCTCCCGCTTATCGTCGCGAGCTGCCG